CTGCCAGCCCGACCCCCCTCCCGCCACACAATCAACCCCTCACCGACACCGACGGCGGCCGCTGCAGTGTTGGCTAAACAGTTTCCCACCTCTCCATCTTCATCCCTTCATTCTCATTCCCTTCTAACACTCAGAAAAACCGCACAGCAAACCTGAAAATAGCAACCAGACAGGATTAGGCTGATACAGATGCTTGTTGGTTTAAAGTTGCTGTTAGCTGATATTTTATTCCAACATGACAAGTATCACAATGCAGGAAACAGCATTTAGATCATGGGACACTAAAATTAAAGAGTAAAAATAGTTTTTTTTTGTTTTGGAAATTTCGATTTTGGACCTGAAAACAACATTTTGGCCCAAACACAGACACATATCCACGCACACACAAACACACACAAATAACTGAGTGTGATATCGTGTTCAAAGTCAACAGTAGTCAAGCAGGTGGCCTCAAATGAGTTTGAGTGCTGTTGTTCCCCCCGCTTGCAGCTGTATTTAATGTTCTACAGGGCTTTTTAGTTACTGTCAGCTGTGTGAAATGGTTTTATTATGATTCAGAGTTTGAATACGCACACACACACACAGGTATAAATACACGCACATTCACGCGCAGTTTGTGCAGGTTTAGGGCTTCGGCAGACAGGTGGCTTTGTGTTAAAAATGCAGTAACAACAGTGGTTATGCATTTGGCAGAATGCTGGTAGGTTTTTTTTGTGTTTTCTTTTCATGTTGTCTGGCTGTAGGAGAGCTTCATGCCAAACTCCATGAAGCTGTTAAATGAATGTGTCTCTCCTTGTTAGTGAAGGCACTGGGCAGAAAGAAACAGGCGGTGAAAAGTGTAAGAGTTGATTTTAAAAATGAAGTGGATCGCCTTCAAAGGCAGCCGCAGGAATCTCTGCTGCTGTCTCTCACTTTCCCTTTCACCACCTTTATTCTACTGTTGCAGCATGTGAATATTTACACATCACTTTTTTAAATGTTGTAATCCAGTGGTGGAGTATTCAGATGTTTACTTCAGTAAAAGGGTTCAAGGCCATTTTATTGTTACAACACAAGATTGTAGAATGACATTCAGATATAGTTCCCTTTATTCTACTTTTTAAAAAAAGATTAATGAGCCAAGTGTTTTTTAATATGTATATATAATTGTATGGTAAAATCAAATGAGAACCTTTCCACATTTCCCACAACTCCTTAATACATTTTTAGTAAAGTAGATACTATTGTGTATCGTTGTGTATCGTGATTCCTAGCGACGGGTTCATGCTATTTCACATTTCATTCAACTTTTTGGAAGTATTTTTGGGGGTTTTTATTGTCTTTAATTGATAGAGACAGCTGATGGTAGACAGGAAAGGGGGGCAGAGAGATAGGGGATGACACGCAGCAAAGGGCTGCAGGTCGGACTCAAACCCTGGCCCGCTGCAGCAAGGACTCAGCCTCGGTACATGGGTCGCCAGCTCTACCCACTGAGCTAACCGGGCGCCACATTTCATTTGACATGTGAACGACAGTTAGTGCCTGTCATTTGCCAAGAGACGTAGCATTGCATCAGCTAAAGGTAAGATAAGCAAATTGGAGGAAGGAAATACACTGAGCCCGTTTGTTAGGCCTCAAGGATACACACAGTGTGGTTTTGTGAGCAACAAAGAATGTAAACATACTTAAAAGAAAACTGCAACTTTATTTCTAAAAAGCTTTTCAGTGAAGAACAATAGGGCAATTGTGTTGAGCTGTCCCAAAAATACAGTCAACCAGAGTGCATTGACTTGTGTGACTTGGTGGATGGACTCACATTTCTCTGTCACTCTTGTTGTGAAGACAGTTAAGTGTTGCACTACTTGATCCACTGATTCATCACTTCCTGGGTCCAATTCATTGCCTCTCAGTTTGCAGAGGATGAGGCGGGCTTTAACCGTATTAGCCTCACTTTTCCATCTAGGCTCTGTACTGTATTTTATTGGTGCAGCTTTAAAAAAACACACACACACACACACACACACACTCACACTCACATTCACATACACATACACAAGCATACATCACTGAGGTTTGGAGCCTTGGACCCTGGCAGACAGGTGGCTTTGTTCAGAATCACAGTGTGCCGGCAGAGAGAGCTGGGTGAAGTGGAGGGGGGGGGCTCTAATCATTATTATGCTTTCCGCAGAACGGTGGCGCTCCGCATTTTTTTGCTGTGTTCCCGAGTTGGTCGGCACATTCCGCTGGCATTGTTATCCGGCCTGTTTCCTGCGGCCGGCGGCTTTTGTCAGCCTCTCCCCCATTGTCCCGGCTTCCTTTGTTCCCCGGCTCCAACAATGGCTTTTTTTCTGCCTCTTAATATATATGTGCACTTTTTGCCCTTGTGTGTTCTGTTTGTTTTGTTCTGCTGTCTGCTGTGTTTTTCTTTCCTCTTGCTGCAGAGCTGGGAAATAACACACACACACACACACACACACACACACAACACACAAACATACATGCACAAGCCTGAGTTGATACGTTCAAGTTCACCGTGGTTCAAACCTCTCTCACTCAACCTGTCCTCTCTTCCTTTCTCTCCTTTTCTCCCTCACTGAGGCGTTGTCTGTCTCCCTCCCCTAAAACCTCCTATTATTCACTGTCTCACACACACACACACACACACACACACACACACACACACACACCACACACTTAGACAATAAGCCTGGCTGTGACTTTAGGTGGTGGTAACACAAACACCATCTAACCCTTGACCTTGACTTCAGCAGTGACCTAAAACAGCGGTTCAGAGACACCAGAGACCCCCCATGTGAAGAGGTTTTGGGCCCACTGGGTCCACTGTGAGGGGACCAACAGTAGTGACAGTGAAATCTACCATTGGACTCACTATCTGCCTCATACATTCTGTAATTGGGATGATTTCTAAAGCATTTCTTTTATCGTATTCTAAGAAGAAATAAGCCCCCTGTGATCTGCTCAATATGGTGTTGATGCAGACTCCCACAGAACTACAATAATAACGTCAAGTAAACTCACCACTCTGTTCCTGTCAGTTTTTCTTTTTAACAGAAACACTCTTCTTACTCACCAATTAATTCCAATCACCTCTACTTTGTTGTTCTTGCGAAACTGTCTATGAAACTGAACATATCATGCACAGGTGTTTCACAGCCTTCCAGTGACTCAACGGCCACAACCCCTCCCTGTACATGCAGGCCTGCAGGAGGTTTTGTGTTGAGTGATGAGTTCTATTGATGGCAGCTTAAATTATTGGGATTAATTACTGAGTGAAAAGGAAAATTGAGCTGAATTGAGCAGCACAGATGAATTTATCATGTGAGTTATAATAGTACAGTACACCTCAATGTTTTCTTTTATTAAGGGCCAACCTTTAGTTATTCATGCTGGTCATGCCCTTGGGTAATATTTTAATACCAGTTTTATTTGAGAATTCACAGTATTCTTCATTTTGCTGAAGAACTTATGAAAGCCTCCTTAAGGACCCATTGAAGGATGGCTTACATGATTTTGCCTTGCAGTTTTTAGGTGTGCTAGCAAGATGGTCCTAAGGATGGCAACGTCAGTCAGTCGCACTTTGGTCCAGACTGAAATATCTCAATAACTATTGTATGACCTTCATAGTCCCCAGAGGATGAATCCTACTCACTTTGGCAATCCTCTGACCTTTCCTCTAGTGCCACCATGAGGTTTAACATTTGTAGTTCAGAATGAACTGTCTTGACAACTGTTGGATGGATTGCAATGAAATTTGCTAACGATATTCAAGGTCAAGTCTAACCTGAAATTTCAACATCTCGGTAGACTTTCATTGTCCCCAGAAGATGAATAACTTAAATCCCCAGGACAAAAATTGTAGTTCATCCAATACATTGGTTTATTACGGAAGCCCTAAAGGGCCATGTATTCATACATTTTATTTCCTCCGTTTTCCCGTGATAACGATATAATTAATTTGGGATCTCGAGATAACGACTGTGATATGATAACTGTGGTCAAGCCAGCCATTACTCCGATCTCCGTGGTCAAATCAGCCACACTTAAATTTACAGCGTATTCACTTCCGGTTTTCAAAATAAAGGTATTAAGAACAGTAAGCTATAATTCAAACCTACATTTAAAAAAGAATATGTTACATTAAAGTGTTTCATTCAATGATGAATAAAAAACATTCTTAATATCAAGCATTTTTACTGCAACAATGTGGAGAAATGCACAAACAAAAGTTCCATATTTGTATCTCCAAGTGGCATATTTTCATATATTTGATGTACTGTAAAAGCAGGTACAATGTGGAATTTTATTGTTGAATTTCTCCAAATTGGTGCAGTAAAAATGCTTGATATTAAGTATATTTGTATTCTATATGTGTATAAATATACCATCCATAGCCAGGAATAAAGTGCGGCTGATTTGACCTCGGAGATCAAAGTAATGGCTGGCTTGACCACAGTTATCATATCACAGTCGTTATCTCGGGAAAACAAAGTTTTGTTATCTCGGGATCTCGAGAAAATTAACTCGTTATCACATTTATGAATACATGGCCCTTTAGGGCTTCCGTAGTTTATAGCCAAATACCCACAAAACTAATTATATTCCCATCAGCCTCAGATATATTTTGTGTCTAGTCCTAATCAGCAAATGTTAACATGCTAATATATCATCGTGAGCTCAAAGCACCGCTCTGTGTTAAGTGACAGAGCCACTAGCATGGCTGTAGACTCTTATTTTGTTAGGCCCACTGAGTCAACCTGCTCTTTTCCTCAAGCTGCTTTAACTTCTTCATGTTGCAGAGTTCATTTCACACAAAGCAGCTAGCCCTGAAACAGATGATCACATTCAGCGAACGAACCTGCATCATTTTGTCATGTGTTAAAGTTTCTTGCCTTTACCTTGATCTCTGCTCTGTGCTGTAATGATAATGCCAACCAAATCAAATGCCCAAACCTCCCACCGAACTCCAAACCTAGATTCATGGGTTGTTTGTCTTTGCACAGAATGGTTGAGCCCAGCCCTCCAGCGCTGCACCTCCTCTCCAGCAGGGATGTCAGCATGGCGGGTGTTGATGTCAAAGTAGAACAGGAGGAGTCCAGCGGGTTAGGTGGAGCCATTACCAACACTGAACCTCGTAAGACGTCTCCCTCAAGCGATTGGTCCGGAAATCATCCACTGGAGGCCCGCCAGTTGACGCCGCCGCTCTCCTGCTCCCCTTCGGTAAGGATGTCACAAAAGGCACAACAGAGAGAAAGGACGTCAACAGGCATTAAGTGTCGCAGTTTGATTTGTCAGAGTAAAACCTACATTTCTCCTAACCCTGCTGTGATGCTTTGTCGGTTGATGGGCTCATTCTGTGTCCTGACAGGAGGGCTCTCCAGGTAAGGAGCTGCCTCACAGGCAAAGCCCCATGGGACTGAAGGAGGCCAGGACACATGATAGACCAGAGGGACAATCCAACTTCAAGGAAGGTAGGTCTAAACTTTTAAAAGTGTCTCTCAGTCACTTTTCTGCTCTGTAGTGTCAGGACTAGTGTTGATAGTGCTGCCAAGACAAAATAAGCTGTCCTAGTATTGATCATTTAATGACAAGCACTTTGTCACAATATGAAACTGAAAAATATCTGCTCTTTGTGACGTTGAAGGCGTAGCTCCTGTTATTTAGAAGAACTGTGACTGTGGGGAGAGTTAATTCTCTTTTATTTGGCCTAACCTAACACACTGTTTTTATCCAGTGAACTGTTTTTAATATGTTGCCAAAATAATCTTATCCCAAGGGTTCTTAAATAGCTTTTTACAGAGCTGTGTTGATACTTTTTTGAGCATCCATCAGTGAACTGAGCCAGATTGAAAATGTATTTTCATCTAGGCTATTCATTTGTCTCATAATTATGATAATTTGATTTTAAATACTTAAGGATAATTATGTTTTACTAAAACTCGGGTCTTGTTTTAAACACACTAGCACCGAGGCTCTAGGGATGGCCATGTACCAGGATAAAATGTCTTGACAACTATTGAATGAACTGCTGTGACATTCGGTGCAGAGACATTCATGGTCCCCACAGAGTGAACCCTAATGACTTTTAGGATCCCCCAACTATTCACTCATGCCTCCAGCAGGTTGACATTCTCGGTCTTAAATAAAAAATATTATAATATAATATTATTTGCAACAGATATTAACAGCTCTCACAGAATAAATTCGGGTCTAAATCAATTTGCCCAATACTTGAGTCCAGCTGACTCCAGAGCACTGGCTCCGGAATGAAATGAACAATGAGAGTTTGAGGTGTTATGGTAAGCTCTTCAATTCCATGCCAACGAATACATCCGTGGCCGACATTACTGTTGTTCAGAGGCTGTAGTGGGCTCAGTTTCAAAGCTATAGTGAATATGCTTGTATCATATTAAACTAGACGACCTAAGGCATCCATTGCTACGAAAAAAGTAAACCTGGCAAAAAACCTCTGACCTTTAGGATAAATGAATGAAAATGGGTTCTATGCGTACCCCAAAGTTTCCCCTGACATGCCCACTTTATGCAAATCCCATGCAGTTTTTAGCATGCAAATGCAAATATTTTCACCTAGTGTATTTGAATATTTCTTGTGGAGTCAATGAGCCCAATTGTACTCATGTGTGATGAAGTTAATTCTCATAGTAGCCATTTCATTGTAGTGTGACCTTTCCTTGGAAACCTCACTGTATTAAATGACCTATTGTGACCTCTAGGATTATCACAGCCTCATGAAACTGTACAAGCACAGACTAGAGACCGATTGAAAAGAAGTTGGCATGAAGAGGTTCACTGGCGTATTACATCATCGGAAGCTGGATGCCCCCCCACTTCGAAAGTCATTCTGGCACCACTGCTCCAAAGTGTTTAGTGATAATTAGCAAATGTTAGCATTCTAACAAGCAGTGAATCGATAAGTGCACTACCACTGGGGGACACCAAAGTTAGATGTTTTCCCACTCTGCACATAGTATTATATATATTATATATGTTATATATCTTTAATATTTAACATGCAAACATATGATCAGTGAATGAAAACTGCAGTTGATGCGCTTTTAATGCTATAGATCAGGTTGTTTCTGTAGCACTCAGTAGCATGTGAGACCGTAAACTGACTTCTATTTGGATCTGCTTTAAATTCACCTCAACGTTCAAAGTTCTCACCACGTTAGATTCAAAACCCTGGTGTCAGTGCACCTCCACAGTCTGTCTCCTTCCTGCACCCATTTTATTTCTTTCAATGGGAGTCTTTCTCTCTTACTTATACACACAGCCATACAATTTTCTCACCGACCAGACTTTGACGACTCCATATCTTATGTGTTTAAGTGCACCGCATTCTGCTGCTTTTCAGCATTAAACAATTCAGTCTGCTGAAAATCGATGCATAGAAGTGACGGCTTGTCTGGTGAAGCGAGGGTGTTGTTTTGGTTCCTGAATGGGTTCGGGGGGATCAGGGTGCTTTTTTTTTTGTCTGATTTTGTTCAGTCCCTCACATGCGGAGTAAAAGGCTGCTCTCCAAGCCGCTCCCGAGACTCTCCGTGCCCTCAAGCCTTTCACCAGCCTGCACTCTTCGCCTTAAATTTTTCTAAAGTTCTATCCACTAGCTGACCTTGGATTGTTCTCTGTCCAAATATTGATCCACTCAAACACTCAAAACTTCTCTCAGACGCGCAAACAACCTCTGCCCTTCGGCACCTCAAATGTCTTCTTCAATCAATGCCATTAGGAAGGCAGAGGAGAGGCTGAGAAAGTAGTTTGGTGTCAGATAGATTTTATTTGACGGAAAATATTTTTCACGCCATCTAGTGCAGCCCAGTGCGGTTCTGCTGAGTACCTGTTGTGTCCTGTTTACAGTAATGCCTACCATTGAGAAGCTGCTGAATGCTGACTGGAAGGAGAAACTTCTGGATAAAAGCACAGTGGGGGCAGGACAACTGAAAGGTCAGCTTTCAGACACTACCAACACCTTTATACCATTTATACAGCACTTATAAACTAAATAAAATTACTTTTAGTAATGTATCTGCCTTATTTTTTCATTTTCCATGATTGTCATTTTCTTTATGAAGTGAAAAATGTTATATAACACTTTTCAAAAGCAATACCTGGCTGCGTGCAGTAATTTGGTGCACCACTGGTTGGATAATTTTGCTGTCAAAATTGTTGGTTTCATCTTGTGTTCCCTCTAAAATCAGGGAAAGTTGGGACAAAACTATAGAAACAAACAAAAGGACGCATCTGGAGAGACAGAAGCAGGAGGAAAAGACTAGCCAAATTATATATATTATCACCAGGCGGCAGACGTTCACAAACTAATGTTGAGAGGGACTCAGCCTCCATTGTCATTGTCCCACTGTCGTAACCACACTAAGGTCTCATATGTGGTTCCGCTTTTATCTGAGTATCTCACTATTTATTTACCTCTATTATTTCACTCTTTTTAGTTGTTGTCCTTGCTTGTAGTTTTGGCAAGTGATGGAAAATACATGACAATAAAATATTAAAGATAGTTTCCTCTTGTGAGAATGAACATGAAACCAAATTGTCCAATGTTTTTGCTGTTGTTTTACTGAATAAAATGAAGGAGGAATGTTTCAACCCAGAGAACCGTATAAATAAAACCTCGTCTAAAATAAAAAAAAAAAAAAGAAGATATTTCTTGGAAAATGTAACCAGTATATAGTACAGTGTGTAGACAAATGTAAAAACTTAAAAAATGGCAATAAAAGATTTTTTTTTTGGCCACTTCGGGGCAGCGGAAAATAGGTGTGAACACAACACTGACATATTGTCACCTTTTTGTTACCAAACAGTTGCTTATTTAGACATCTAGCAGTTACGGAGCAACATTAACATTAACGTGTTGTGTCTCTGACCACCTGTAAATGTAAATCCAGAACATTGGGATTTTAGAGCTTTTTGCTTAATAAAAGCGAGAGAGTGAATCAAAACCCAAAAGTTGCAGCCGGACACCTAATCAATGAACTGAAACTCGCTGTAAAGCTCCATGAAGCCAAGTTGAGCTACATTAAGGCCACTTTATAATTTGTTACACTGCTTACAAATAATAAAAATGTATAGAAACCCTTTACCATCCAACACTGATCATAACACGGTTTGGCATGAAATGTAAGTCCTCAACCAGTTCTTAGAGAAACCTGACGCTCTGATTCCCGTCCAGGTACCCAGGAGTCTCTGGCAGAGAAGGAGCTCCAGTTGTTGATGATGATCAACCAGCTGAGCGGTCTGAGAGAGCAGCTACTGGGAGCCCACTCTGAGCAGAGGAACATGGCTGCCTTGCTGCTGGAGAAGCAGCAGCAGCAGATGGAGCTGGCTCGACAGCAGCAGGAACAGGTACCACCACCAATCACAGAGCCCCAGAATCCATCGTCATTCTATTCAAAACATACAAATATGATGTCAAAATCAAATTTCTGTGGCTCTGCTGTCCATTAACTTGATGAAAACTATAATGGGCCTTTATGACACAGTGGATCTGGAAACAAAGGAATCCCGGAACCTAAATCAGGAGCTCTGCGCATTCGTGTTTATGTTTTGACAGAATATGAAGGAGCATGAAGACTAGACAAATTAGACAGATGAAATTAAAAGAGATCTTTGTTTGGGATGTCATTTTTGCACACAACGAGACCGCAGAGACAGAAAACATCAGTTGGCATTAGTTTTGGCTGATTTTAGAAACAACTTTTATTTAAAAGTCAGTAACATTAGAAGTAATTCCCATACTAATATTGATATTCGTGACCACCGGTGCTTACTTGCAGTCTGAATGGTGCTGGACACATGTTTTAGCAGCCTTGAGGCTTGTTTTGACCAGTCAACTCACTGAGCACTTAAAAAAGTACTCCAACATTTTAGCATTGCACTTCTTTGACACTGTCAAACCCAAGAGGTTTTTTTAAAAGGACCTAATTTGATTCAGCAGAACTAGAGATACCATCTTTTGTATTCCTTGTCAAAACCTGGCACCTAACTACATTTACATTACCCACAATGCAGTTGTGACCATTGAAGATTAAGTCAGAGATTTGGTGTGTTTCTAGTGGCTAATGTTTTTTTTTTAGAATTTTATCAGATTTCACAAAGCTTTCTACTGAGCCACAAAAGGCTTCATACAACTTTTTTTCACATACACAGTAGTACTCTCCTCCTCAACACACCTAAACACACTTTTATATGTAAAAGAGGAGGAATTCCCCTTTACCCAACTTTACCCAAAGAGTTCCCGGACTGTCAAAAAAGAGCTGAGACTTTTTGTTGGGTAGCAACTGTGTTCAGACATCTAAAACTAGAACCACATTCCTGCAGTTGAAAAGCAAGTAACGTTCCCGACTTTCTAAAAAAGTTCCTTTGTCCCTGGAAAAGTTCCTGTGGTTGAAGTCACAGCTTGACAGCTTGCTCACATATCAAATCTTTGCCTCAACAGCTCAACAGTGCTGTTTATGTAACACTAAACTATATACATAATAATGTGTACCTATTCTTGACTTCAGACCAATTTAAACTACATGGAGTTTTTAACTTTTTCATGATGCCTCTATATGATCTACATAAACAAACAAGACCATCAGTGAAAAGATTGGCTATTACTAAATAGTTATTCTTAATGCCTGCTACCAGGTCGGACTCAGTCAGTTCCCCTTTGAAATCAATGAAACCAGGCTGTAGAAAGACTACCGCTTTTGTCCACAGGGGTCGCCAGAATCAACACAAAATGAAAGTTCCTCATTGATGCTTTAAATTAATTGTGAATTATACAAAAAATATGTGTGATTACTGAAGCAGTTAGGGGTCATTGCAGTGTTTTTCAGTTTAACCACAGTCCATGTTATTAATAGTCTTTATCTAAGGCAGCATTTCTCTGTAAAATTGAAAATTGATCACGTTCATGTTCATATACTATGTATTGATGATTAGAATTTCTGTTGACAGTATGAAATTGAGAGGTAGAATAAGAGTAATACGTTCTGCAGTGAATTGCATTTGATGGTGATTCAGGTTGAGATGAATGATGTCCAGATCCTGGTTTCCTACACTCTGTGCACGCTGTCTGTCTGCCACACACATACGGGATGCGTGTGAGAATGACCTTGTCTTGTGTCTCAGATCGCCAAGCAGCAGCAGCAGCTGATACAGCAGCAGCACAAGATCAACCTGCTTCAGCAGCAGATCCAGGTCAGCGCCTCTCAAGACTTCTTCACACAGCACAGCCAGCAGCACTAGCATGGACAGTCATTGCAAATGATCAGAAATCTGTGTTTCAGACAAATGAGGCAAGAACTTTTGTGTAAGGTGTATCTGTCCTGCCTCGTCCCAGCAGGTGAACATGCCCTACGTGATGATCCCGGCTTTCCACCCCAACACCCAATCCCTCTCTGTCACCTCTGACCCCCAGATGACTTTGCCACTGCAACCAATCCCCTGCAAGCCAGGTCAGTCATCAGGCTAGTAGAGAGGTTTCAGTTTTAAACACTGGAATTTGGTGCTCCACTCTGCTAACATTAGTTTCTGGGTAAAGGTGTATAGGGGTACGCTTTCCTTCTTTGAAGATAAACTACAAGATCATGCTGTAGTCTGTCCGGATGCTGCGCTGTGCCCTTGCAGCTGAGTTCTACCTTTTTTGTTCCATCAACATGAATTTATTAACAGCATTAAAAAAATCAATTTAGGATCACAGAAGATAAGAATCGCAATTCTTTTGTGAATGTGAATGGACCTCATTGAAATAAATGAGGGGGCTGTGCTTTTCAGGCAGCGCCGTTGTGTATCTGAACACAATAGGATTTGAGTTGAAGATGGTTTTCACAGTACACAAAACGTATCAAAACTCCCAAAGAAAGGTCTACACCCAGTACTGTAAAGCATAATCCTGGGCTGTTGCTCTAACCAATAAAAGGGTCAACCCCCTCCCACTACTGCTTTATATTATGCTATAGTGTTGCCTGAGCAACTTTAGCAAGACCTTGTACACTCAATAAGGTTCCATACTCTATTAAGTCTGCCTTCAGTAATCATTGTGGTCTCTTGATAATCCTCCAAGGTTTCTCTACACCAGGCTGTAAAAACTGGGGTTTTGTCAGTTCTTTCATGGTCTGTTCTTACATTCCAAAGAAGAAAGAACATTGAACTCGTGTGATAATGACTGTGTGCTTTGAAGGCCACAAACTTTGTGCTGAAAAGTTGTAGCCATCATTACAGTTCCATGAGTTACCATGCATGCGGAAACACCTTCTGATGCACTTTAATTCAAGGCCTACTTTATAGAAAATGGAAAGACATTAGTGAGATACAAATGTAGACTTTAGTTAATAGTATGGCTGATAGTACCTTTCACACACTTATGCTTGTACAGTTATACAGGCTATAGAGGGCACCGTGAAAAAAAGCCCCAGCTTTGTGCAGTCTTGCTTTTACAAGTCTTAAAAGCTGTTCTCGCAGATGACCTTGTCCTCTCTAGCTTTTCAAACCTAAAAGACACAAGGCCAGTCTTTAACATTGTAGGGGGGCTTTAAGGATAACCATTAATTTGCTTTCTTTATTTACCACCTAGAGCCGAAGGATCTGTCCTAGGTTTCTGCCTTTTAACAGGCAGTTTTTCCTTGCCCTTGTCGCCAAGTGCTTGCTCATGGTGGTACTGTTGGGTCTCTGTAAATAATGTTATAAGGAGTTCGGTCTAGACCTGCTCTATTTGAAAAGTGTCCTGAGATAACTTCTGTTATGAATTGGCACTATACAAATAAAATTGAATTGTATTGAATGAATTTATTTCAAGAAATGTGTGTGCGTGCGTCAGAATGTTTTGGCAGATGAATGTAAAAGAATTGTCAAAAGACTGTTGGGTTGTATGGAAGAGGTCAGCTATAATCAGAAAGTTAAAGTCATCTTTTCTTTCAAGATATGGATAGAGTAAGGAAGTACGCTGTGTAATTGAATTCTGGAGCTGTCTTTGATTTTTATTATTATTATTATCGCTGTAATTTCCCTGGAAGTCAAGACTAAGTGCACCTCATTCTTTGCTATGCTGGGAATAATTTTAATGCTATCAATAACGCTATGATAAAACATTTACTACATCCGAAGGGGCTTCATGGCTATTACTTTTTTTAAAGAATTCAAGTTCAACAGGTTCTTTATTAAAATGTATTTTGATTCAAGCCTAATCCTAAACTGCACTGTAGAATTGACAGTGTTCCATTCATTTGCAGCGTGCCTTAACACAAGACTCCTTTGTTGTTGTGCTAATGTTACCGTAAGTCTGAAGACAGCATAACCATTATCCACGATTTTTCACACATTACTTTTAGAGGGTTTGTTAGCATGACTCATTAGTTTCCTCCATTTTGCACTAAGGATGTTCTCTTTATTAGCCCCATTTACTGAAAGGGCAAGGCCTGCAAGTCATGGCCTGTTGTGCTTATATACTGTGAACTGGCTTTGGGGCGATTTGATGATTTAACATGAGATGATGATGAGATTTTGCCATGCGGTTTTTATTGTGGTAGCTAACCACCCTCTAATCTAGTTATTAAATATGGAGACCCAGAGTGTTCAAAACTCAATTAATAAATTAGACATTATGAAATTAATATTCATTAGATATAGGAAAATACAAACAAAATATATCAAATATATATATATATATATATATATAAATTCATCTTCTCTGCTATTAAAGACAACAAAGACTTTAGGAACAGGGACATTTTAATAACTAAAGTCTGCTGGAATAACATTTCATAATAATAGTCTAAAATGCTTTTAATTATTTTTCAGTTTCATTGTTATATCATTTTTATGATTGTTTATTTGATAACATCTAATCTTCTTATTTAATTTTGAACACTTGGGGACTCCATACATACTACATAGTTAATCCCCCCATGTTGTAGTGGCTTGGTACAGTCTGATTGGCCTCTTCCTGTATTTTAATTAATTTATATGTTTATATATCTTTCTTCTAATGTATGTTCATTGTTATTGTGTTGTAAGGACAAAATCAATTAAAAGAAAAGCAAAGGAACAATGTAGAGTGTAAACTATAGAAGGTGTGAGTGCAGGGTCACTGACATTTTAACCAGCTGTGTGCTGCCATCACAGTTACTCCCTGACAGCTAGCTAATGCTAATAGTCACCAAACTTTGTGTTCTGTAGCTCCTGAGCATCTCTGTCTGTGTGCAGAGTAACCACACTGGTATTTTGTTCAGTACATTTGAATCAAGTTTGAGCGTCAACCAATGATAATGTTTTACACCTTCCACAGCTGTGGACTATCCCATGCAGCTGCTGCAGAACCCTCACGCAACGCCCGTGAAGAGGAGCAGTGGTTCCTTCCGACAGGTACAATAGTACTACAGAATATTTATTGTGTTTGAAATGTTGACCTCAATGCAGCAAACTCAGTTCCCAAGTCCTTCAAATGCAAACATTTCTAATGTATTATAGAGCTAGACCTTACTGCGAGAATAGTGACTCATGGCAGTGTGTTTGTTTACTTTACAGTGTGTGTATGTACTATATACTGCATAGTTTGTGTGTGTGGATTAAGGTGCATTAATGAAAGTGACAGCCTCCTGATTAAACAGTGAATGTACTTTTCTTGTACTTGGGAGGCTGAAAAGGGCTTTTTGAATACACCACACCCTCTGTTCAAAGCTTTAATATGTGTAGTATAGCTGTGTGTGAGTGTGTTCTTGCCTGTGTGTGTGTGTGTGTGTGTGTGTGTGTGTGTGTGTGTGTGTGTGTGTGGCGTGAGGTGTATTTTGTATTGCTTCTCAAGCAGAGATAGACCAACACAGTTTAAATAAACAAAGGGAAAGAGAAGATGAGGTGAACAAGCAGACAAAAGACCAGAGATGCAACAAAGGTGTGACAGATGCGCTTGGACATGCTAAATCTTCCATGCATAACCGGAATACACGCACACCCTCGCCCTTACGGTTATGCCTGAGTGTGTGTAAGGGGCCCCACCCCTGCTCATCTGCTCTCCCTGTGTGTTTAGGAAGCCAGTCAGCCCTTGAACCTGACCTCCAAGCCAAAGGGGCTGGAGCTGGGGAAAACACCCAGTCCACAGAGCATGGAGCTGGGATCGCTGGCGCTGCAGGGGGCCTACAGGCACAGAGATCTCCACAGAGAAGTGTCCCACAGCCCGCAACGATCTGCCCTCAGTGAGTTATGTTGACAGTCAGAAAGTGTGAATTTGTGATCCCAAAAGGGGAAAAACTGTTGCTTCTTCACAGATCCTCTAACATGCTTGAGTCAAAGTCACCCTCTGTATTTCTGTCACAGTAACAGGGTTTAAAGGTCTAGTGTGTAACATTTTTAAAATAATAATATAGTGAATATTCCTAGGTATGTTTTCATTGGTATATAATTAGAATGAGTTGTTTTTATCTATAGAGGGAGCAGGTCCTCTGCAAGCCACCTCAAGCATTGGCTCTAGAAAGGGCCTTTGACAGTATTTTGCGAGTTTCGCAGTCACCATAGTTTCTCCTACACACTGGGAACAAGAGGTTGAGGCGAGGGGGATGTAATCTGCAACTACAACACTAGATGCCACTAAATCCTACACACTGCTCCTTCTAACTGTTGCCTTTGGAACAGACAGGCCTTTTTTGCACTTATAAAACTTCTACTGAAGGAAGCTGTGGAGTTTTGTTTTGTGTGTATCTTTTTGTTTGTGGGGCTGCTGTCTAGTGTCTACTGTGTTTGATTCTACCACCAGGATGTAGCAAAGCAAAAGTCAAAAGATTCTACACACAGTGGCATTTGATTTTAAAGGAGTGACATTGTCACATAGAAAACACTTCATCTATTGTTTTTCATTTGGTGTCTTATTGCTCTTTCCTTAAAAAAATCTAACACTGCAAAGGAAGGGAAGCAGTTTACATTTCCACTTGTTTAGAACTGTAAACAGATGAGAATTAGGAGAGAAAAAAGAAATTACAGAAACTCAAAGACATTGTACCACCCAGTGTTTGACAGATGAGAGATGTTGCAGTAATGAGCCATTGGCAACAAACATCTACTGTAGTTCAATTCAAAGCAGGAACTGTGGGTTATCACTATAGATATGCTTAGGAAACAAACAGAGGCTATTGGGACTTGTGGACATATGAAAAACTGAGCGTTACTTAATAAAAGAACACTGAATGAGAAATAAGATAGAATAAGTTACCGTTCATACATAATGAAAAGGACAAAGGAAATTCAGATAGATTTAACCTTAATTCTATTTTGTATGAAAAACATATAGACATTCAACCTAACCAGGTTACAGACACTGGATTTCCCGTAATTCTAATTCTAAATTTGCACATTACGAATGTTTTTGACTACAGTGACGTGTTTCTGTTGTTTTGTCCAACGCTGTAGGCAGTCTGTTTTGGGCAGCATGCACTGGAATTAATTACTACAATTTGTATTTTTTGTCTTTTCCCTGATAGTTTGATTAAGTTGCAATTTAAACTGGTGACTTTAAAGAAATAGGAGGATCTGAAAAGTTGGCCACACTGAATGCACTGAACGAGGGTACTGGGCGAAACAAACGCAAACAAATTGAAAACACGTAGGAAATGATAAGAGACAAATCTGATGACATTGCTCATAAAACATATGAAGACATATTGAACAGATTTTCTACTGTATATTGGGGCGGACAGATTAGTACTTTTTCAGTACCAATGAATGTATGGTTACGCCCAAGCTGACATTGGCTTTCACACAGAAATATTGTCATGAAATAAAACACAAAATATATACTAAATGTGAAAATACATGCAAATGCCTTGTTTAATATTATAACTTTGTCTATTTGTCTCAGTTATTAAATTATTTAACTTTCTGAAACAAATTACTCTATGTAGGTTAGGGAAGAGTGCTGATAATATGAAATATGTTTCTAGTCTCATTTTCTTCTTCATCATATTGTTCCTCATTTTTTGTTCTCTTCCTCCCTGTCTTGGTTTTTGTCTCCAGGTTTCCTCGGAGACGGCGACGTGGTCACCCAGGCCATCCATGACGCCCAGCTGCTCCTGAGGAGCCACAGCACCGGCGGGCGAGAGAGGGAGAGGGACAGGGAGAGAGAGCGAGACGGTGGCGGGAAGATGGTGAGCTAATGTCCAAACTGCACTGTCCCTAAATACATTGACAGGGTTGGCACAACGCTATGTGAACATGATGGCAGATTTACATGTAATTGTCGTCTCAGGTATCGTGAATCACCTGCAGCACTTTTACATTGAAGTCACAAAGGCTCACTGACCACAACATTCCCATAACACGGCACAAGTCTGAATTGAATGCTGTGCGATTAGATTAAGGCCACAGCAGCTCAAGATAAAACACAGAGGGAAAATAAATGCACATTGCACCACTCATTTTCCACTTTATTGCATATTACATACAGTTTATATATTTTTATTTTAGTTTATATTGTCTATTATATTTTCATTTTATTATTTTGTATTGTGTTTTACTCTCCTTCACTGGACATCTTCAATCTGAAATAAAAACTATAACGGCTAGAGCTTTCGTTCTTTTTGCAGCAAAAAGCTAAGGCTTCTGTTACGTTATACTATGTTACGTGCAAAACGTAGTGACAGTGTGCGTCGCCGCCAGCTGACTGCCGTGGGTGGAGGAGAGAGGAGTAGAGGAGCGGCTAAAAAATCGCAGTCAAAATAAGCATAATCTCAAAAACAAAAACCTGTAGATGGTTCAAATTATGGAGTGTCCAGAAATATTTTGTTCATGTTTCTACATTTAGAAATCTTTTGAATCACTATTTCTCGTTTTTATTTAGTAAGATTTGATGATAAAACAGGTACATTTTTTTATTTATAGCCTTTTAGCTTGGGTTGATTCTATTGCAGAGTTCAAAGGGTTGAGGCAAGGCGCTACAGATGAAAACCCTGGTCAATTTTTTTGCTTTCATAACTTGTCTTCTTTCACACTAGTGGAAAGAAAACGTACACATTTAGGTGTTTTTTTTTTTACTGCAGTTTGTCTATTTGCTTCAGTAGAACTTTAACCAAAAAGTTTGATTGAGCATCAGATAATGCCTTGTTTGCATATTTATACAAAAAAAACGTTTTAATGTAGTTAAGTAATAAGCTGAAGAGGTTTCATGGTGATATCTATTGCTTTACATTTCTACCCTTTTCACCTGTAGTGTCTCCCCTTAATACTAACAGGCCTACTAATACTATATTTATTTAGAACACCTGCATCAGAGGTGTCTGCTACAGTCCGTTCACTGGAACCTGGAATAACTGGGGTCTAGCAGAAACAAGTTGTGAACAGTGACATATCATCCCCTTTTTAAGTTGATATGGTGAAACAGTTGCTTATGTACACATCCAGCTGTTACGGCGCAACATTATCATTCATCTGGAGTCATGTTTCTGCCCAACTGGCAAATATAAGTCCAATATTCACTCTCTTTTAGCTCTGTTTTTGGTCTCAGAATCTGAATTGGCCAATCAGAATTTAGGGACTGTGGTATAAATTTACATAATGGACAGCTGTGTCTGAATTACAGAAAGCCATTACTTTAACACATAGGTACAGAGGCTAATGTTATGCTTTTTATATGTCTGAAATTCCTACTTCCACATATAGCCACTCACAGAATAGAAAGCCTGTGAAATGGATTATATTTTGACATTTCACCACTGAAATTCAGAATAATTCAATTATTTATGATTGTTCGTAAAAGGCCAAAAGACATCTGTCAGACCTTACAGATCCCCTCCAGACATATACTGTATACAAATAATCTGCTAGGAACAATAATGTGTGTTTGAAAATCCTTAAAATGTAATCTACTCCTTCTACATCATTAAAAATCTCAGTTCAAATGTTTGTTTCTAAAGTTTCCCTGCTGGACACAAGATGTCTCCTACTTCACTGTAAAGTCCATTCACAGTGGATGTGCACTGGTGGCTTCAACTCTACATCACACTGTACAAGTTGCACACTGACTATTTGTGATGTCACAAATCATGGTGGTAGGCCCCGCCCCTTAAAATCAGCTTTTAAATGAGCACGGAGAAACTTTCCACTTTTAGCAGATTCATGTAAAAAAAACATTGTTCTAGTGTCAAACTCTGCACATACGGCATTCAAACAGCACGCTGTAGGAACAAGAACAAGGAACTGTTCTTTTTTTATTACTGGAGGGGGACTTTAATGTAACAGCTGGAGTTTGTAATGCAAGTACCTTCTTACTGAACAAACTGGATATAAGGAAACACTCGCTGTCTGTCTCTCTTTCCCCGACTGACATCTATAGGGGTCTAATCGGGGGTCAGAGTCAGGTTTAATGTTACAGGGAGTCATGCTCCTGGGATTTAGCCGTCTGAAGAATATCGCAGCTGTAGTGTAACCACACACACAAAAGTATTTTAGGTGCTGCCTTCTGCAAAATGCTGTTAAGTAAACACAGTGTGGATATGACAAAGAAGTTACGTCTCTGTTGTTTCCATTATTAGTAAGTGAAAAGGGGCTGCGTATTCAGCGTCCCTTGACAAAGATGGTATCAACTGCTGTTATTCTCCTTTTTTGTGAGTACATTTGCACTCTACAGCAAAGCAAAATGGAAACTCTGTATTCAGAAATCTTGCATCTATGTAAACTGTCTGCAAAAACCGTGCTCGTTATTTTTTTGTTATGGTTCTTGTAAAAATTGTCTTCTATTCCGGTCTCGGTTTTGATTCTTTGAGGTGGCTGAAGCTTTGGTCTCAGCCTCGTCCTGGAGCAACAGCTGTTGCAGCCTCACAATACCACAAAGGCCTCAGTGTGGCATTGACTGAGCCACCTGCCCTCTCTCTTTGTCCACAGTAATACTGTACTCTGTGGCTCTCCTCCATTATCCTGCTCCATCTCGCCTCTGCGGCTGCTTTAACACCAACACTGATGGCTGACCTATTTTGGTATTACACTCCACTGCATGGGGATAAATAATGTTTTACGGCACGGGAACGGATGGCGCGTACGCTGATGGTGTGATAGTTTTGCAAATTCAGAGTTGTCACATTCCCAACTCTGCCTTTTCTCCTTCACCTTTCCTCCCTGAAACAATAAACACCATTCTTCCTCCGACACAGCGTTGTCATTTCCTTTCTTTGCATTTACAGCTCTGCATTTAAACGGCAGCTGATATGGTGAGCGTGCAGTTTCTTTACCTTAAATAGCACTCTGTGTGACACATGCGTGCCTCGAAACACACCCCGCGGACATTGGGTCATCTTTTTACTGCAGTCGAAATTCAAATGCTCCCTTTGTGCTCGAGTGTGAATATTTGAGTGACTCAACCGCATATCTGACTTCATCTGTCTTTGTCTTTTCCACGTCTGCAGGAATATAAAGAGTCTCCCCACAGCGAGAGAATTTCTCACTCCGAGCGGGGTGAGGACAGACATGGCCTGCCGTCCACTGAGGACCACCTCAGCAGCGACTCTGAGGGTAGGTCTCCCTGCAGGAGCCTGTTTGATAACAATGGCCTTATCTTCACTGATAACACATTAAACAACTTCAACCATGCTAGTTATTAAAAAGTGTTTTATTATCGCCCCTGCAGAATATCAGATTGACATTTAAATATCCCAAAATAACTTCCACCACCTTCATATACAACTCTGACAATATCAATCAACAACTTATTGAAGTGTGGTTGCTTTGATGAGAAATGGAACAAAAGTTTCTTGTATAGACCTCAGGATGGAGAATGTGGGTGGGGAAAGTGAATCATAACTGTGCTGAACTCGGATGTTTGTGGGTGAAGAGTAAAGGTTAATAACCAGGCGAAGTAACAGTTCAAAGATGTAAAACACCAGTTTTAGGGGGAAAGGTTAATGGCAAGAATAAAAATAGAAATATTTAAGAACCAATGAGTAACACATTCCAGACACAGCAGTCTGCTGTGATCCTCTGACTGTAGGCCTCTTTTCTGTAGGTGCTCTGCCCGTCTCGGCCCCAGGCAGCTACGCTGAGGCCCGGCCCCCTCCCTCCTCGGGCCACATCAAGAGACCCATGAACGCCTTCATGGTGTGGGCCAAGGACGAACGCAGGAGGATCCTGCAGGCCTTCCCCGACATGCACAACTCCTCCATCAGCAAGATCCTGGGTGAGCCTATAGCACTTGGTAGGGGTGGGTTTCACTCTCTATTCTGAGACGCTGTCTGGCACATGTGAGGGCACGGACAGCCACCTGCTTCACACACACACACGCACGCACGCACGCACAGACACACACACACACACACACACACACACACACACATGCACGCTTGCACGCACACACACACACGCACACACACACACACACACACACACACACACACTGGCCTGAATCCCTTTCCTTGGACCAAACATTTACATTCCATTCTATTGTGGAGAGCTTGTTGTTGTGAGCAACCACCCTTCACACACACACACACACACGCAGACATGAATTCTCACATGCATGCAAACTATGCACAGTCATACATATATATATATATATATATATATATATATATAAAACCGTTACTCTACTTAACGACACAATATCATTACTAATCACTGCTTAATCTCTATTTACAGGGAATTGTTTTTTCCTGTAAACTCTATGAGATCCATGTTTATGACAGTTTTCACACCAATTACTGCACCAGCTGATCTCACACCTCTCTGGCTGAAGATGTGTTAACCACACCTTTCACCCAATCAAATCATCTTTGGTGTAATTTTAAAAAATATGCTTTTCCATGTACCACAGTAACAATGACTAAATCATAATGACAGCTTTCAAATACAATAAAACATATATTTCTTCATTAATTCTACCAATTTAAAGGACCAGAGTGTAGGATTTGGTGCAGATTGCAACCAACTGAATACAGCTCAGTCTTCCAAGCCGTGTAGGAGAAACTACAGTGGCCGCAAAACTCACGAAAGGCCCAATCTAGAGCCAGTGTTTGGTTTGTCTGTTCTGGGCTACTGTAGAGACATAGTAGTTGCACATGGTGGCCTCCATAGAAGAGAACACAACTATTCTTATTTTCAGGTGATTATACACTAATGAAAACATACCTAAATGTGACACACTGGACCTTTAAGGCAATAATGTGAAACTTAAAAAAAAAAAAAATTCACTAACCCAATCTTTTACAAATTTAAATGATCAATTCAACCCAACACTCCTGGCTCTATAATCAGCATGTACAGTGTGATGTAGAAACTTGAAGCCACCAGTGCACATACACTGAGAATGGAAAAAAAACTCTTAACTCATGCCTGAAGGGGACCTTTAAAGTAAATCCTAGCCAAAACAAATCCTGAAACTCTAAAAAGCTTTTCAGCTGAGAAGCTAAATTCACATTTTAAGCATGCTCTCTTCCCCTCATCCTCCTTGTGCCAATGTGTCTCTGTCTTTAGGCTCCAGGTGGAAGGGCATGTCCAACCAGGAGAAGCAGCCGTACTATGAAGAGCAGGCGAGGCTCAGCAGGCAGCATCTGGAGCGCTACCCGGACTACAAGTACAAACCCCGGCCCAAGCGGACCTGCATCGTGGAGGGACGGAGGCTGAGGGTGGGCGAGTACAAGGCCATGATGAAGAGCCGCCGGCAGGAGCAGAGAGCGACCTACACGCACAGGTAGAAACCAGCGCACCCACAGAGGCCAACGGGCTTCACACAACTCTGAGATAATGCCAGAGTTCGTCCTTGGCACACAACACTGACAATTCACTCCACTGACAAGAGTTTGATATGCACCTCCACACATTGTAGACAATTCCTGCAGCTCCCAAAGCTCTTTTTTATTCTTCAAGCCACAAACAAAAGTGAAGCATTGAGCCGGGCTTTTTTTCAGTCTGTCCTCGACGATGAATAGCATCCGTCGCCATTGTTCCCTCGAACTCCTCCAACTAGTTAAGCTGGAGGAGTTCGAGGTTGGAAATGTTAGCAGTGGTTGGTTTTGAGTGTTTTTCTGTTTTATGTGTTCGTTTTATTTGTCTCACAGATGCACTCACCACATCTTTTCTCTTTTACACTCTTTTGAGAAATAAAACATTAATCAGAATGTCACAGCGGTCTTGGATTTCATTTCTGATCACGTCTTCAAACCTGTTGTTTATGCTGGGACCTCACTTCTTACTATTAATTGCTTTGAAGTCACTTTGTACTGAAACAACTGATAGGTTGATATTCTTTTTGTAGTCAAAATGGAAAAACCTAACAAAGATACATTCAGGTCAAAGGTCAAACTGAAGTTAAGATGTATTTCTGCTAAGAGATCAGTATATGTTATTTTGGTGCATATTGGTATATTGGTAAAGTAGTTCATAGCTTCACTTTCAACCTCACTGGCAGTCAACCAGCAGGGTGGCCACTGCTGTCGCTCGGTCCCATCTGATCTGAGCACTCCCTCTGTTACTCTGTGTGAGTTGAATGTCGAAAGGGGCAGACTTCAGCCAACGCTATGTGCTTTTACAGTCTATACAGGGCTACAACCATTAGCCAGCTAGGCTAACTGGTTCCCACTTTCAGAGTGAAATCCAAAGCACAACATCTCCTCAATGTTACGTCCCCAATAATGTAACCATCAGATAGCCAGTTTTAATTATTTCATCTTTGTTTCCAAGAAATCATGTTTTGTCCATCAGTTTGGCTAAATACTACAGTACCCATGAGCCTCAGCCACCAATGCTATGGAGAAGAAGCTATCGTCAATGAATTTGTGAACAACACACGGTGCCATAGTTGCTTAATTCATCCAAAATTGATCCAGATTGGTGTTTGTGTTGGTTTGTCAACATCATGATCTTTAGCTTTAGTCATTAGCGGTGCTGAGCAGCTGTTTCTAACTGGTTATGAAACAGTCTCCATTTAATGCCTCTCTATGACCCACTTCAACAGAGGAGCTGTTCTTAATGCCTGCCACTGGGTCAGATTCAACGTTTTCTCAAATAACTAGATACATTTGGTTCATCTTTTGCACTGATGAGTTTCATGGCCTTTCAAACTATAGAAGTGCTTCACCGAACACTGTTGATGGAAAACGAATGGCCTCTTCTTTTGAAAAGTAAAAACATGCACAATAGCCACAATGTCATTTAAGTTTATACACAAAAAGTGAGAATTCAAATTTCTGTTTGACCTTCAACTGGAAACCAAGATAATAATCAAACATATTCATGAATACTTGTTTAAAACCTGACAAAAGTGTCTTGTATTAGTGGTTCAGAATAACGGTACCACAGCTAAACCCTATCACCTCCGTCATATAACAGGTAAAAGTCTCTGAATATCAGCAAACCCATGTATTAACACAAACTAATTGAACTGAATTAATGCTGTTGTCTTATTGTGCGCGTCACTTCCTTTCCAGTCAAACGGAACCACAGCAGATCCACTACTCCCACAACGACGGCCAGTACCCGGGGGGCGCCGGCTCGGTCTCGGTGGCGACCATGCCCTTTCACCCTGCATTACTGGAGCATTACCTGCCGCAGGTCCCTCAGGCGCCGCGCCGAGCCGAGGGCCACGCCACGCCCACCTCCCTGCCCAGAGAGAGGGAGCGGGAACGGGAGCGCGAGCGGGAGAGGCCTACGTACAGCGAAGGCGAGGAAAGCGACGGGGGAGAGAGGAGCGAGGGGGAACTGGTGCTCTTGACAGACTGAAGGGGGGAGGGAGGGGGAAAAAGGAAAACGGAGGTGAGGGATGAGGAGAGGAGGAAGGGTAGCTAAGGAGGAAGGGTGCTTTGTTGACTGACAGTCAGAGGAGAAGAATGGAGGATGAACAGGGGGAACGGGGAGGGATTGAGTTGTCACTGAATGAGAAAACTGCCCCTCTGTTAGGCAAAAGTGAAGAGATGTGGTCATACTCACTCCCTTGTAAATTAGTTGTTTTCCCTGCACCACACACACACAAACACACACACACACACACACACACACACACGTAAAGGCAAGCTCTTATCTTACTCATTTCCCTTCATAGACATGTCATCAGCTGCTTTGTTTTAGAATACAGAAGTTATATTGAAGTTATAATGTAGAAGGTTTATCGTTTAATCCCTTATGTTTCTCGTCATCCTCCCATGTTGCCAAACAAAAGCCCCCACAGGGGCACATTCAGTGGAGGAAAGTGTAAAATAAACCTCACAAGTTCAATAGAATCCCTGTTTTCACCTGTTAGACAGCTGAGGGACCTCAGAGCGGCTGCTCTCTGGTTGGAGCAACAGGCCCGTGATAGAGCTGTGTGTTATTAGTATGTCAGTACTGCCCCCTGCTGGTGAAAGCTAGTTCTTACTAAATGAAGACAACCAGAGGAGTAAGGCTTTATATCATTGTACTGAGAACACTGACATATTACAGCTAACTCACTGAACTCATGGTTCAGATTGTCTGGAAAGCGTGCACCTGGAATGTGGCGAGTCAAAAGTCAAATTTGATCTTGATAATCTGACTTTTATTCCCTTGTATGGTTTAAGCTCCAAAACACACACTGGATCCTAGTCTTCCCACAATGCAACTTGATGAAGTTTTTCATTAGACCCTCCCTGCCCACTATGTTTCAGACTCTGATGACATTGTCAGGGTTATCTTTCAGATTTGGGAGTGATCCCTCCAGTTTTCACAGAGTAGTAAACTGAACTTAATGTTTAATATGACTGGAGTGCCCCTTTAATAAATAAAATCTAATTGGAATCACGTCCCAGCAGCCATTAGGAGCATTGTTCGCTTTAAGCTAGAGTTGGGAGACAAATCCATTAAATCTATTGATTTGAATTTCACCAGTGTGTAACATTTAGGAGGATCTATTGGCAGAAATGGAATATAATATTCATAGTTTTCATTGAATAATCACCTGAAAATAAGAATCGTGTTTTGGTTACCTTAGAGTGAGCTGATATCTCCAGACGCTGCAGGTCGCCTTCCATGGAGTCCGCCATGTTGAGCCGCCATCACATTCTCTGCACACTTCACAGCCAGCGTAGTTTCTCCTTCGTGCTTAGAAGGGAGGAGTTTGAAGCAACTATACAGTTAGATGCATTAAATCTTACACACTGCACATTTAAAACGGTGTCACTCATCTACACAACACATGTAGAAACATTTTCCCATACTATCCTATGAGAGAAGAAGGGGCCGCAGTGATATGACATTACTGATGCGGTGGTGTTTCACGTCTTTTGTAGTATGAGATTTTCACCCAGCCCTACTTTAAGCTCATACAATAAGTCTTTACATCTGTCTCACTGAAAGAAATCCTGTCTGGATTATCATTTTTGGAGATTAGGTCTTATCTTGTTTGTCAGCACCAACGGAACAAATGTTCTAGTTAAGGAACAGTTAAGGGATGTCTCATCGCAACTAACAGCTTTCAATCACACCACCAGCCAGTTAGATTATATATAAGAAACTGATTCGCAGAAAATATACAGTAAACCAACAATCAAACCCCCCTCTTCCTCATCCTCCCACATCACACTATTCAGTTGAGCTGTGCTGTATATGCTGTATCCGTGTGTCTATCAGTTCCCTCTCCATAGCATGGTGGGTTGACCTCAGCCTTGCCTATTTTTTTTATACCTCTGTGTTTGCTTCTTTGAGTGTTAATTGATTGTCGTGTTGAACACCTCCTATTTGTGTATCCCAATGTGTTTTTTTGCTGCTTTTTGAGTTGCAGCCTCCCGCAGCACTGCAGAAAATATCCACATATACACTCTATACATATATTCTTTTTTGTCATCTGGAAAAATGACTCGCAATCGCCATCGTCTTGGTACGAGTACGTTGGGCCTCGTTCTAAGATATTGACATACAGATGTTTTTTCTGAAGCGGCACTGGAATTAGTTTCAGATTTGAAGAGTGAAAGTGAAACTAAATGACATTTTTGCAGTGATAGATCAATCGGCCTCATGTTAGAATTAAGGTGAAGTTCGATCTGAATAGGCTACACTGTCTAACTATCTTTTATTTTCCTGTTCACACATTACATTTCACATGGGAGCGGAAGCTGCCGTTCATTGGCTGGATGTACTTGTAAACCCCCTCTCTAATGGTGGATACAGAGACGGAGAAAGGGTCAATTAATGGTTATGAGCTTGTTGACAGTGAAACAAATATACCAAGGTTTTGAGTGACTGAACCACTGGTCGATTTTATGAGAACAAAGATACCAAAATCATCCACGAGTCCTCAGTACATCATCGGTGCTCCGTGCTAACAGTTCTGCTTACTGAGCGATATTGGGCTCCATATTAGCACTTCGCAGGCCTGCACTACGTTCTTTGATAGTGAGGCTGCATTCACTGACGGTTGGAGTTACTATATTGCTGCTTGTTGCAGACGTATGCTGAAAGCTCGTGTTTTAATGGGGTACAAGTAAAAGTAATATTTGTGTGCTGTGAGCTAGCTAGCTAGTGAACTGTGTACATGAAAACGCACGCAACTTCCCAAATAAGAACACTGATTGAACAGTGACGTTAATGAGGTTGTCTCAGCAGGAAAAAGGAAATCCTTAGTTCCAGTAATAAATCATGGTAGGCTCAATGCTAATGATGCTACAGTTTAGCATACACTGTCTTTATAGATTTTAATAACAAGCTACAGACTTTAAAGCCAAATGGTGAGCTATCTTAAATGAGCTGTAGCGTAATTTGTAGTTGTATGTAATAAAGTGGTACAGTTTAATCGAAAACGTAAGACAAGACATGTTAATAACCGGCAAGCTACAATGTTTAGCTAACAGCATGGTGCTATTAGCCTGTAGGAATCTGTGGCTAACAGTTTGGAGCACATAGATCATTTTGGTGTTTTTGTTCTCCTCGCTCAATGACCACACTGACCACACTGACCAAGACCAGTTCAACTACAACGTAATGTACCTAACACTGGGGTCAATCCACCTGTAGGTAACTGGTAGCTAACTTTTAGCTAACTGTAAGGTTGACTAATCAAAATAGCGGGAGAAGACTTCACTGAATACAATCATGGTCAGGGCTGTGTAAAGTAAAGATGCTGGCTTTTGTGCACAGAGACGGATATCGGGGGGAAAATATCGTTTTTTTAGCGGAGACGCGCTGAGGAGCCACCTGTCGTTACCCCTGCTGATGTAAATATAGAAAGAGACTTTATTTTGTTTATAAGAGCCTGTGTAATTTAAAGGTGTACGTTTCTTTATGTTTTCAGAGTTTTGTGTTGTTGGTTTTTTTCTTGAAAGACAATAAATTGGTTGTGTTAATTGCGTGTGATTTTCTTCTTGTGTGTGCGAGTGTGTGTGTGTGTGAATGTCTCCCCGCAGGCCCTGCTTGGTTCCCACGGTAACACACCACCTCAGCTCTTCTCAGCTCGCCGTTGCATTTACCCATTATATCAGCATGGCAGCGTATGCTGTTTATTTCCCGTATTCCAGCTGGTTAAAAAAACAATCACTGCAAATTAGCATCTGACAATCACAGGAAGTGACGCACCTGACTGGATCACACCTGTGCCTCTCCTACTGAGACACCTGTCTGCCATGAACAAGGGGAAGGAGTTTAAAGAAAGTTTCAACTGAAAAAAATGGAAAGATGTGCTTTCTTCATTTTGATTGACAATATAGGCGTAAACACGAGAACCTAAGGAACGTAAGAATATAAGCTGGAGTTAAGTGCAGAAACTGACCCACCGTATATTAAACATACCACGCAGCAATAAAAACCCCAAAACATACACACGATCAGCAACAAACCCCTGCCCTATCACAGTATACACACACACACACACACACACACACACACTAGAAGACCTCAGTGAGAAAGTCAGAAATGTACCGAGGAGCCGAAACCATTACGAGCCTTACAGGCAGGCTTTGGGAGTAACGGATTACATGCAACTCTGTTATGTAATCAGAATGCAAAAAAAAAAAAAAAGGTGAGCTACCCTGCAGCCCTGCTCAGTGCGTAAGAAAAACTGATGTATTTTAAAATTGTAATCCTGCTCTTAATCCCCATTGTTACTAAATGTAACTGTAATCCATTACAGTCAGAAAAGAAGACGTAATCAGATTACAGTTGTATTTAGTAAAAATGGGGATAGAGCGTCCACCCCATGAGTCCTTACCGCAGCGGCCCAGGTTTGATCCCAACCTGTGGCCCTTTGCAGCATGTCACCCCCTTCAATCTCTCCCCCCTTTCCTGTCTATCTTCACCTGTCCTTTCAAAATAAAGGCACAAAAAGCACACTTGTTGAGGAAATCCAAAAGTAATCAAGTTGTTAATATTGTGATACTTGGATTAGGTTACTGACGTAACGTACTGGAGTAATATGTGAGGACTTGGAGCCATTAGACTACTGATTGTTTGGATCATTCTGCAAGTAGAGCGTTACAGTAGTCCAACCTGTTTGAGATGAATGCATGAATTTATTCCCTGTGGATTTACTATGCCAGAGTATCAAACTGTAAAGAGAGTTAGTTTAGTTTAACTCTGGGACCTCCTGCACCTCCTGACCTACTTCTTATATTGCAAATACTTTAACATTAACATACGTTCAATTACTAAAATCCACAGTAGCTGACTTTATAAAAGAACTATTTGTCATATTTGCTTTCACTTTCACTATATCCAACATCAGACAGATCATTTGTGATATAAAACACGTTCCTCTGGCTCCTCATGACATTTGCAAGAATGCGACTCACCTGAAAGAAAACAACCAATCAGAGGCAAGAAAGATAGCTAAATGTTGAGTCTCATTCCCAGGTCGTCTAACGCTGTGGGCCCCTGGGAATGAGACTCAACTATCTTCATGCTGCCAACCAAAAGCATCACTATTTAGTTACCTACTGCAACTTCAAGGTAGAACCTTATTTAGTATCAATGGTAATGCCTGTGTTTACCCTACTTTTTGTGTGAAAAAGGTCTACCGTTATCGGATTCAATCTTGCTCAAGCTTGAGTCCCACTCACTTCACATCAGCTAGAGGAGCACAGACAAAAACACACTTTAACACATTTGTACCGTTCTAACCTAATAAAAGTGTTACTCTACGTGAGTGCTGGGAATTGGATGCTTTAGGCTACATCCGACTAATTTCTTTCTATTGAAAAGTATTGGTTGCACCTAACTCAGTCTTGATGGAGTTTATTCATACAGCAACAATAACAATGTTCACTTTGTGTTGACTCTGGGGGCCCCTGTGGACAAAAGTGGGAGTGTTTTATTGATTTCAAGGGGAATCTGACCGTTGGCAGGCATCAAGATTAACGCTGGTGGTTTTGTTTGTTTCTGTAGGTCCAATAGGAGGCACCAGTATGAAGCTGAGACTGTGTCAGAACCTGTTAAAAACTCCTTTTATATGTTTAAATAAAATACGGTGAGAGTGCGAGTAGAAAAAGACAGATGAAGTCGGAGACCTCCACACATAGGATGTTGACAGTCATCACCACAGTCTATTTCAGCGTGTGTGTGTGTGTGTGTGTGTGTGTGTGTTTTGGCAGGATGTCCCACAGCACAAGTTTCTTCCTTCCTTCCTCCTGTTTGGGCCAAGGCACCGGGTCAGCTGGCACACAGAAACAAACAGGAGGAAGCTGGAGTGTCAAAAGAAAAGTCACACATTGGTAGTTTCATGGATTCCCACAACTTTGGAGAGCGGACAAATCGAAAGCACACAGCCAATTTTAGTATTTTATACATTTTAATGGAAATATTTACTGACGACTGTTAAATAATTCTTCTTGCCACTCCTACAGAGGTGTGAAGGATCACTGTACAGTAAGCTTTTTCACAGTATTTCTTACAGTATTTACATCCTCCATCTCCGCACGCATTCGACGCAGCATCTCCTTTAGCAGCGGATGAGTACATTTACAAAGTCACATCCGCAAGCCAAATGCTGGGTCCCTTTACACAGCGCTCAGAGCATTTACAAAAAGGAAATATCAGCATACAAAGGGGGGAAAAAAATCAGTTATCTGTACAGTGTTTCTCAAAATTAAGTTAGTACATTCACACATAAAAATAGTTAATCTCAAATGAACTGCAATGCAAACCCTCTGATGCTAACCATTTTGGTATGATTAGAAAACGATGAAAGAAAAGGTGTGAAATGCAACATTAGATTCACTCAATAAATAAACCCTGTTTAAAACTGACCTAACATAAAGAGAGTGAAATCTCTGACAGCCAGCATGGAACAGGAAATGCAGATGGCCCGTGGTCAGCAGAAAAACAATGGATGTATTGGTCTTTAAAGGTTTTTCAGCTTCACTGTCCACAATAACTTCTTGTTTGGCTTATTTTCACCTTACCCAGTGTGTAATGTAATGAGCAAATTGTCAACAAAGTCATCAAGGTGTGTCTGGTAATGTTCAGTTGAATGATTAAAAGTATGATACTGATACTTTCAGCAGTTACACTTCATTGTTTTCACTCTACGGTCTGTGGATCCACAACTTCTGAAAGCAACAATGTCAGACAAAACCTTTAGCTAACATTAGCTACCTTTTTCATAAACAAAACAAGTTACAATTAAGACGCGTAGTAGGAAGAGCTGTCATAGGTCTCATTGATGATCATTTTCCTATGGATAGTTAAAGGCCCCATCACTTTGTCTTTCCACTATAGATTCTTTACGTATATCCACAGACGGAGCTTTTGTATTTGTAGATTTAGAAAAAACACACACATTTAATGTCATTGGAAATACTTCATAACTTAAGTGATACTAACCAGTTTTCTGGCTTTTTTTCGAGAACAGATCCATCTCCATGACAACTGAGCAAACTCAACCTGCTGATGAAGACGGTGTGATGCAGTTGAAAGCTCTGGTTCTGTCAAATCAGTCACTTGTTCTCCAGTGCTAGTTTGTGTGTTTAAAGATCAACGTAACAATGACTACTGAAAATCGTGTCTTTACTGACCTCTAGTGGTTTAACTTTTCACATTGCTAGGGCTAAATAAAGGGGTGAAAAACACTGCTTTTCAGCACTGTATTAAGTTGTTTTTTAAAGACCTGTCAATATGTCATATGGTCACAAGTGTCCGAGCTGAGTGGAGCGACAGAAACTGCTGTTTCACTCATCTACATCGGTGAATTAAGGATTTATTTCAACCAAACCAGAGCTGGTGACAGTTGGGACAGTGGGAAGACTAACACATACTATTGTGGTGAGTTTTATTTTGTTTCTGTCTACTTTGAATGTCAGACGATGATATACGAGGTAAAATGATCATTTCTGTCTACAGAGTGTGGTGGCAAGCGATAGTTAACAAAAGGTCTATCTATTTCCATGATGTTGTCAGACACTTAAAACAACAATCTGAGCCTGTCAGTGGCAGAAACAACAACTTTTAGTGGACGCACTTTGACGGTGCATTTGTCCCCAAGGATTAGCCAACGTTACATAGCATAACATTTTGCAGCTATTCTCTGCGAATCAAGGGTTTACTCTGACTAAACCAGCGCTAGTGATTGTTGGAAAGACGTAGGTCTTGGTGAATTTTAGTGTATTTCTGTCCCACTGTTTTGGTCTGAGATGCTGGTGCTCTAGTGAGACATCCAGTGGAAAGTGAATTTCATATATATAACCTATAAAATACACACTGGACTGAACTATGTCAGCAACAACATGATTTTGGTGCGTAACGTTTTGATGCCATTCCACACGGTGGGTAAGGTGACCAGTGGACCAGACGGCTGCTAAAATATTAGCACACTTCTGAATGAGTGCAAAGTTTTTAGGACAACCCTACATTTAGCTCTAGCCTTTAACATCACTGCCTGCTAATGTTAGTTAGAATTTCCGAGGAAACAAAATAAAGCTGCCCCCTAACTTTTATCTTCCAAAATCCCAAACTGTGTCACTAGATGAGGTCCACTGTGGGTCAGTGTCCTCTATTAAGTGAATGGAGAAATTCATTCAGAGCTCATGGAGTGCAAATGCCCTTTTTATCCAGGCTGAATTCCTACCAGGGTATTAGGATTGTGCGTTCAAGCAGCAAGCTCACTAATTTGGTCTTTGTCTGCAAATCTACTAAGCAGATTACTCCACTTGTAGTTCCCTAAAATAAGGGCCTCTCGATTATTCTCAAATTAAAAATGCACTACTGACATGGGTGATAGCTTTTTCAACTATTTCGTCTGTAGCTTTTCGCTCCCAAATATGTGCCATCATACGAGTACATCTTTCACTAAGCAACTCTTAAACCCACTTTAGCTTCACACAGCCCCTGAGTTATAATTCACATTCAGAAGGCTCTGATCATCACTAAGGATAAGAACCACTCACACATTTCAAATATACATGTGATTCCTCCGAAAGCACTTGTGTCATTCCTTAGGTGGACTGTCCAGACTGGTAACCATTAACATCAGCTGGTATCTGCCTGTTCTGCTGCTCTGAGGGGCTGCTGCTCACTTTGTAAATTATTAAGCCTGACAGTTACATGAGACCTGCACTGGAGGACAAAGGTCAGAGCTCAGTGTCTCCCCCTGCTGGGCCTGTGAGAGGTTAGATATCCTAAAGAGTATGTGTGTAAGAGAGAGGACATCCCTTTTCTGGAGCCCAGCATTAATGAACAGCTTCACAAGGTATCATCTTTTGCTCAGATTCACTCATGAAAGTAAAGGACTGTGCTTCAGTTCATTATAACCAGAGGTCAGGGGTCAAAGTATCTGCAGGTTTCAAAAAGCCAAATACAAGACTCTTTAAGACCTTCTTGGAGTGTATGTATAACTTAGTTAAGGCCAAATGAATTAAAGCCAATGTCTAATTCAATCTAAGTTGATTATAGAGGCTCTTAAACTGTGAGTGGCCAGAATGAGAAAAAGGAGAAATGAATGGCCATTAAGACCAACTGTGCTTTAAGGGTACTCCACTGATTTGATACATGCAGATGGTTGTGTAAGTACTACTCAGCAACTGGTTTTATAATTGCTTAATAGTTGAAGTCACTTTTCAAGTTTTCTGCTTTCAGCTTGTTCAATGGGGGCATTTGCTTTTCTTTGTCATAAATCACTGTAATGAATATTCTGGGGTTTTGGATTGTTGGTCAGGAAAAAAAGAGGTTATTTAGGGCTCAGGGATGTTTTGATTAGCATTTGTTGTAAGATTTCAGAGCTCTAACCTGCAGATCACTCCTTGATGAAAATAATCATTAGTCGCAGCCCTAGACTCAACTGACGTCACTTCAGTCATTTCAGTGTGGGATTGGAGACAAATTTACAAGAGAAACTTTGCATTGCCAACTGGAAAGAAAGAAAGAAAGAAAGAAAGAATGAAAGTTGAAAGAGTTGCATTGTGGGAAATGTAGGATCCAGTGTTCAGGCTCTCTCAGTCTCTGCTGCTTCAATTTTGACCGTTTCTTTAAAATCAAAAGCTTTCACAAGTCCTCCCCTCTTACAGAAGTGTTATAGTAAATAGCTGGAGTACAAAGACAGACAGAATATGTACAGTACTGAAACTCTAGTGTATTAACCTAAGAGTCCTGATAATGCTTTGTTTAAAGGGCACTCCACAGCTATAGCATTGCACTCCTATAACATTGTCGGACTCATGGCAAACCATTTTAAACACAAATCGATGCAGCAGAACCAGACCTACATTACCCATAAGCTCACTTCTTTCTGACACCACATGTCCAGATTTGTTTTCATTTTCAAACCTGTAGACCCCGACTGACACTGACTCAAGTGACATCACTTGAGGACACTGTTTTGATTTTTTTATATAACTTTTTCCACATTTGCAGAAGTACTCATCAACACCTTTAAACAGGCTTTGGTGTGTGAAATTTCCCTTCAAGAACTCTAGTTTCCTTCTAGAATGTTTTGGGTCAGATGCCATCTTTTTCCATCTAAGTAATGGGTGATCTCATGACAGCAGCACAGCCCCATTCATGCCTCTTTTTTTAAGCTAGACTTGATTTGACCCCGGATATAACTTATGCAATGTCTGATTATGTAACAAAATTTGGCTCCAAATCTGGGATGTAACTGGGAAAGGATTACAGTGTGGGGCTGAGAGCAGCCTCTGATGGTAAGATGGTCTGTGGAACAGGTGCTACTGCCACAGTCTAAACAGATAAAGGGAGATATGAAACAAAACCGGGGTGGGAGGAGATCAAAGATGGTAACGTGCGGAGAGCAGACAGCAGGAGGGCATAAAAGAGAGGGAGGAGGGGTTGGCGGTGGGGGTCACTGAGGTTGTGATTTTCCAAGAGCTCTGGAAAGTTTAAATGGAAAGTTTAACAGAGCGACTCGCTGTAACCATAAAAGTCAAGAAGGTGGAAAAACGGTTGGAGGACAGAATGCACACAGAGTGACATTTACACAGGTCCCCTCTTTTTAACCAACATCTACCTCCCCTCCTCCTTCATGTCTCTATTCAACACAAAGCAACCAAAGCTCAAGATTTGTTTCACCTGAGATGTTAAATAATCCACAATGTCTTCACATAAATAAATTAATGCACATTTAGCTACTCTCTATCACCGATTGCTATAACACAAGAGTGATTCAACCTACAGACAAGTCTGTGAAAAGCTTTTCCATTTGCTGTCCCACACACTCAGTGTCTGGTAGGTCCTTCCAGGGAGAAAAGTCCACTAGCACACAGAAAGGTCTGTTCATTTCTAGCAGCAGCAGCGGTTTGCTTAGAATAACTAGCAGAGGAACTGACAGAAGCTCAAACTGCAACGGCCGGAAAAAATCTGAGGGAAGAGACGACGGGGTACCGCCCACTGTGTTGGATGCACAGGTGATCTCTGGGAAGTGCAGTGCAGGAATATCCGCAGCGACGAGCACTTAGTACCAAAGATGGAGAGAAAAGAGGAAGGACCGCACATAATAGAACATAAAGCGTTAAAATATCTGCAGAGAGGAGGAGGATTGGTCTCACCGTACACACCACACGCAAAATCTGAGGAATCCCAGGTGAACTGCCTCTATAGTACCTTTCTAACTATAATGAGGCCATGGCATTGAGCCATAGATATAGCACACAGAGAACAAACTATATGTCAATGTCAGCATCAAACCCTTCTTAGGCCCTCTTTTGACCTTCATTACCAGCGTTGTGGAACATTTTGGCGCCATTGTGACAGAAAAATAAAGCAGGTTTTAAGTCAATGATCTCTACCTTAAACTCTGTGTGGCGGCTGTGCTCACTACGCCTTGTTCAGCTGCCCTACGAGGGAAAGCAAGACGTCGGGTTTCAAGATAAATTAAGGACATACACAAGCATACATTCACACCCGTACACACAGAACTGGAAGTTTGATAATTCTTGAGCTACAGTTGTGACAGACATGAAGCTAAGATGGAGGAATGAAGGAGTAATTGCGCTTGTTGCAGAAAAGGAAGCCAGGTAGTAGACCAAGCAGTGGTCCATCAACAGCTGGCTCACAGAGAAGAGTTCCCACCCTACAGGAAGACCCGGCATTAAACCGGTCCCACCCTTCCTCCTGTCTTCTCTCCGCATTCTGTCTTCCTGTCTCCTCTCATTCAGGGATCTGCAGGGCCATCACTGTGGGTTTGGTCTTGAAGTACTGGTTGAAACGTAGCACAGCGTACCTGCAAGACAGAAGAGCAGAGAGGTGGTGATGGCACAGAAGGAGAAACTCCTGTTTGAAATCTCCACACATTTTTTTAAAGGATTATAAATTGTAATTATAGTGCAGCTATTTTTTCATTGTATTATTTATAAAATATACAAAACTATTTTTGTACAACCACAGGAGCACAATGCCACACCCAAACCATGTAAAGCACACATACTAGAATAGCTTGTAGTTTATCAGAAAAGGTAAGAGTTTGGGTGCATTTTGGATTTAATAACAATAGTTAGCTTTGTAAGACAAAGGTGATTTTGTGAATGTATGCTATCACCCAGAGAATAAACTAACGTTAGGGAAGGGGCGCACCAAAATCCAGCACTAGCAAATGAGCAGACTGACCAACAGACACTGCTGCACTGTACAAAACTTTCAGATAACCTTCATATCTTTTATCTTTTAGTGCTGTCCGCTAAACGCAAACCCATTTTAACGGCGTCAATGTTTTTATTGTGAGATTAACGTTCTTTTTGGCCTAGCACACGTTTTTTTCACCTGCTGTTGCAACAACTAGTAACGTTAGAAAAACTACAACACCACACCGGATCAAGCTAGACCGGAAACAAAACAACAGGCACGCTGCACACACTTGTTTAAGTGTAGTAGACGTTACGTTTTGAGTGGATGGCGAGCGCGAGACGCCGAAATGGATGCCAATAATATTCTGAATGGAAAGTTTACTTTAAAAAAAGCAGCCAAATGGTTCCATTGACAAGACCAAAGTGATCTGTGTGTTTTGTCGTTGTGAACTGAGCTATCATCACAGCACGTCCAGTCTGAAATAAATAATAAATTTAGTTTTTGAATTGAGGACAGATTCTAAATAAAATTGTGACAATTTCAGTTCCAGTTAAATTTTAATATATCACCTTTCTTTGCAGCAGCAGTCTAATTATCAGACACTGACAACATGCAAAGCAGGGGAGCTATTCACTCTAGAACTGCCTTTCTGTGACTGAAACAGGAGTGATTGGGTTACCATCCATAAAACTCTTTAGGTCTACTCCTGTCTGTGGACAACTATGGGAGGCAAAGCTGGTGTCTGTGTGTGAGCAGGAAGTGTTAAGTGGTATGGATGCTCACAAAAAGAAATGAGAGACATGTTGGCTTTTGGTTTCAGCCTTTCACTGCGCTCTGTTTAACCCACGCTGACAGATTCTCCGGAGACCCACAGTCCCACCTATCACTTATGTAATATCCTAAACGGGGGGTCGCCACTCACAGATCTGAATCACACACACGCGCACGCACATACGCTCACAGCAACTTACCCAAGGAAGTCAAAGTCGATGGAGGAGTATTTGGCCTGGATGAGTGCCCAGAAGCCCCAAAAGAAATGAGAAGCCTTAAGAGAGACAAATCAGATATCAGATTAAAGTAATGTGAGACACTGTGGGTGTGAGTGTGTACGAGATAGTGTGTGTTTGCCAACATATTCCTCCTCACCAGAGCAAACTTGTTGACCTGTACGTAGAGTGTCTCCAGCTCTCGCGGGCTGACCTCCTCTGTTTTCTTGGTGAAGAGCTTGTATGCCTGCAGGTACACTTGGAGCCAGTCCATCTGCATCTCCCGACTGGGGTACAGCCCATAGTCCAGCTCTGCCATTCCTGATCACACACGGGACACATTGCTGTATAAGAATCCGCACTGTATAGATATGGCATAAGTTCTAAATCAATTCAGATCACACTGTGGTTCAACAAACCTGCAAATTCATTGAAGTGGTTGCCGATGTCGAAGGCCTGGTAGTTGTAGCTGGAGTATTCGTAGTCTATGAAGCGAACATGACCTGAGAGACAATGAGGGGACAGTAAGAGAATGTAAAATAGTGTACTTCATATAATAGTGTACAAAAATAGCAGTTCTATCTCATCCAGAGTCTACAGCTTATGCAACCTGTTGCAGCAAAAACTGGACCGCCAACTACCCCAGGATCCAGTGAGGGCAGTGACATCCTGTGTTGAGCTGAAACAAATAGTTGAATAGTACTACTTTGATTTTGTAAGAAAATATGTCCAAATTCTCCGATTTCAGCTTCTTAAAGGACCAGTGTGTAGATAAAAACGTCTCATTCTAAGGTAACGAAAAATGGGCGTGCTTGTTGAAAAGTAACAAAAATAGTCAGACTTCTCTCTTAATGCAGTGCTGCTGTATGGGCTCCACTTATGTTTCCATTGCTGATGGGCTTGTTTTTTATGACAGCAGCAGGAAAAGGTGGAGTCAGGTGACCTTTAAACATGTTTGCAGATGTCATTACCACCTGGCTGAGATCTCGTTACAAGAGAGCCAGACCACCTGCCGAAGTGGTTGAGTTGATCCAGCACCAAACCTACTGTTTTTATTTACACCTGCTTGAATGTGTGTTCTTCCTTTCTCAGATAAATATATTTAGATACATTTGTTCAGGTGTAAACAGGGTCTAAAGTAGAGCTGAAACGATTCAGTCGATCGACAGATAATTAATTGGCAATCTTTTGAATTGTAATAATTTAACTTTTTAAGCAATAACAACAAAACTTAATTGGTGCTTCTAAAATGTGAATATATTTGCTGTCAGTTTAGTATTCCGTCATAGTAAAAACAGTGATGATGAGACTGGCAATGCAGACTTTAGGTAAAAGGTACTATTTACCCTCTTTACTGTTGTGGATGATGTTCTTGCAGAGAAGGTCATTATGGCAGAGCACCACAGGGGAGCCCAACGTGGAGAGATGCTCCTTCATCCATACCATCTCCTGCTCCAGCACCGCCTTGCTGGGAACCTCCTGCTGGATTCTGGACAGGAAGCACAGAGACAAGCAGAGAGAGAGAGTTAGGCTTTTTCACACAGAGACTCCAGTTTTATCTCTTTGGCTGTTCAGACAACTATGTTGTGTGTCTGCAACCCCAACACTGACCCTACAAGCATGGTCAAGGACAGTGAAAGAAATTGTTTTAGTAATTGTTTTAGACCAAAACAAAAGTTTTTCATGGTTTTGGGATCATCACAAAGTGGGAACTTATGTTAACAACTGAGACCAACATGTACAGACAGCACACAGGCTCAGTGGGGCTCTGGCCTGCTGGCTCCTGGGAGCACAGCTACAGAGAAACAAGCTCTCAGTGGACACTGGAGGTGCAGCAGGGTGTTCCAGAGTCACTATAGCTACACTACTGTGTCTCATTTTGAAATGAGCTTTGAGATCTGACCCATTCCACCTGTACGGGAAGACACAAAGCTGGTTGTACTTTCTTAGGAGATTGTGGTCTTTCAACATCTGCAACAAACTGCTGTTTTACCAGTCTGTGGTTACCAGCGTCTTCTTCTACACTGTGGTGTGCTGGGGGGGCAGCATATCCAAGAAAGACAGCTCCAGACCGGATAAACTGATCAGACGGGCCGGCTCTGTGGTCGGCATGAAGCTGGACTCACTGGTGACTGTGGCAGAGAAGAGGACACTGGACAAACTGCTGGACATTATTGACAATGCCAGCCACCCCCTACACACCGTCATCAGCAACCAGAGGAGCCTGTTCAGTGAAAGGCTGCTCCTTCCCAAGTGTAGCACCAACAGACTCAAGAACTCCTTTGTCCCTCATGCCATCATACTCTACAACTCCTCACTCGGGGGGAGGAGGAAATAGGGTAAAGAGGACAAAAGGGAAGGAGTGGTAGCACTGTGCAATAATAATCTACTAATACATACCTGGACACTATTCTTCTTCTTTTTTGTGCAATAACTTAATCCACCACTTAAGTGCAATAATTTAATTTAACTGCTAATTTCTGCTGATGTCATTTATCCACTGTATAATAACACAATGCCATATACAGTCCTATATATTTATCTATATTTATCCTCTATACAGTTCTCTACATTTATCTTATTTGACTTTATTTTCCGTGAATTTTATTTTACTTAACTCTACTTTCTATATTTAGCTAAGAGTTTATTGTTTACTGTTTATTGTTCACTTTCTATATTTAGCTAAGAGTTTACTGTTTATCTTATACTGTATTTCTTATACCTCTTTTACTTTCTAGTGTAAAAGTGTTGTGTAAGCTGCTGGAAATCCAATTTCCTTGCGGGAGTCATCCCAAAAGGATCAATAAAGAGAAGTCTAAGTCTAAATCTAAGTCTAAGTCATTCACTGTATGTGCATGCTATGCTTTAAAAATGACATGTCCTGCACCTGTACTTATTTTAAAAATGTAAATCCCTGCCACAGGCCTACTGAACATTCATGAAAGTGGTATTTTTGGCTAATGGGGAAAGGGTTAAGTCACTGAGTTAACGTCTCAGCCAACCAGACTGAGCAGAGACCCCTGTGCTAACTGTAATGGGCTTATGGGACGTAATCCGGTCAGCCTGATAGCAGGAGATGAGAGAGAGAGAGAGAGATTGTTTACACCACACGCACATACACGCCCTCTCCTTGGAGATACCTAGATCTCTCCCCTGATTGCTCCATCTCCTTCACCTGCAGCCTGACTCAACTGTTCAATCTCTGCCTGGTGTATAGCAAAGAGGATTCATATCTCTGTCTGCTAATTCTTTGAAACCCTTTAAACATCTGGACTTCTGTACAGCCTGCTTCAGACCATAGAGCAACAAGTGTGTGCTGTCCAGTACCCAGCACACTCTAGCTGTCTGTGTAACCAAGGAAGAGCATAAAGTGACCTGATACACTGAGCTAAGCAAACATCTGCTGGCCCACTGCATGCCTCAGACTCCATAATCCAGTCGGCTATTATTGTTACAGTTATATAAGCCACATGCTGGATTTAATCTAATAGCCATCAGAACAAAGGTATCAGCTGGGACTGGGCAGCTGGCCAGGTTATGAAACACTCTACCAAGATGCAAAACGAACCATCATCTTCAGCCTGAACTCTAACTTCTTCTAACTTTAACACCCTTCCTCTGTCCCAGAGAGGCAAATGAAATTCTATAAAATGGATTTATTAATGCCAAATGCACCCGCCTTATGTGTGTCAGCCCATGAGTCAAAGGTTGATTGGATAAGTTCTAAGATTTATAAACTCTCAGGTTGTAGTGTCTTTATCTCAGAAGCAGTCTGATTTACAAATCACATCAGCTCTTATTGCCCTGATTGCCAAAAGGTTCCTTCCTTCCATAAGAGACCAGCCTATTTAAATACGCCTACGTAAACAGTGCAGGTTCAGTCTTTTTCCAACTAAAATCCATACTACTTCTGAACACCTTAACGTCTAAATAACAAGACTGTGAGTCTACAGCCATGCTAGCAGCTCTGTGAGCTGAGCTTTGGGCCAAATGCTAACATCAGAATGCTAACATGCTCATAATGACAATACCAACCTATGCTTGTCAGGTGAAACATTTAAAATGTTGGTATAGCTGAATACACAACAGAACCTGGATTTATGTAGATTTGTGATGTTGTGACTGCTGTTTATCAAAGAAAAATATGTACTTAAGAACTATATAGTGAATTAAATCACAGTACAGTTAACCACAGAGGGGGGGGACTGAACATGGTTTATTGGGCTGTCACTCTGCAGAGTTCCTGACTGTATCCACCGCCTACTCACAGTCAAATGTATGGCAGCTTAGTTGACCAAACAACTTTGTCATCTCTAATTTTCTGTGATTGTTCATTTTAACATGCAATCATACAGCACAGCAGGTGTCAGTAACCTGGATTTATGTCGACTTTGTCAGACAACATTGCGCACACTTGTCACTAAAACTGTATGGTGTGTCAGAATCTGGGGACCAGGAATGTCTTTACAAGATGTCATGCTAATCCATCCAATAGTTGTTCAGATATTTCAGATGTGGACACACTGACTCTCTAGAGCCAATGCTAGTGTGGCTAAAATGTGCTATCAGTAAAGAGTACAGGTGGTTGTAAAGTCCGGTAAAGTTCTGGTCTGTTCTGGCAAGAGGAAGCCAGACCTTTGAGTAAAACCAACCTCTGAAATAAGACTCCACAGTAAGCTAGACACCTTTTCTGTATGTACATCATGTGTTAGACACCTCTGGTAACTAGGAAATTAAACAGGGTAACTAACCGTTTGATAAAACTACTTTACTGAGTGCTCCCAGATGATATCAGGCTCAGGGAAAACCGACTCTGTCCACATAACTAATGTTACAGGCAAATCAGGCTGCGCTTGGGGAACTATTTGCATCATTATCACTGTGTGTGTACTGAGCCACGAGCAGGAGCATGTGAGAACCACTGAGAACCTGGCTCTCACCTGATGTTGGATGCTTGGTCGGTAAACTCTGTGGCCACGAGGGAGAAGTATTTTCGCATCTTGATCCAGAGGTTGGGTTTGGGGATACAGCCATTGTGTGCATGGATGGCATGGATACGAGCCATCTCCCTGGCTATCAGTCTGAGAGGAGACATAGAAACACAAAAAGACAAATAAAGTTCTCATCATCTCAACATGAAATTAGTACATTTCTGTATTAGTATCCTGTTATGAAGACAGTCCAATGACAGACAGCTCTGCTACAAGATTAAGATGCTTTTATCTGCAAGGTTAGATGAGGACAAGTATCTCTTGCGGAGTTCCTGGAAAGAGTCCAATGAAAACAGCTGAGTACATCACGTGACAATCTGAGCTGATGTAGACAATAGTGTTTAACAGCCACCAAGGAGAATGTGTGTGACCAGAGTAAGTATTAGTACTGACTGGTTTGTGTACATTACAGTAAGTGCTGTAGTAATACAGAGACTAAGGATTCAGAATTGGTTTTTGTTCCCTCGTTTTTATAGTATGAATCATCCATCAGTCATTTGCATGTGACTCACATGTGCTTCATTTGCCTCTTTCCTGTGCAGCATCGAGGCATTTCTGCATTGTAAAGTAGTTTGTGTCCAGGTTCCATTTAAGACTTTTTAAGACCATTATGAATGCAATTTAAGACCTATTTTACATCCATACTGGAATATGAAGGCACATTGGTATTGTTCAGGTTTAGTTGTTACAGCATGATGAATAAATCCTTTTCATGAGACTGAAAAATACAACTTTATATATACCATTTAAGATCCAACAGACACTCTGCTATATGTAGGATGGAGAAACCTGAGAGGATTCTGAACACAATGATTGCACAGTGTTATAATCCTGCTATCACTGAGCTAAGTCAGTAAAGATCCCTGTCCCATGACTCTACCATGTCCCGACCTGAGTAGTGAAGGATCCCTGACATCCTGTGTCCCAAGAGCGTCCCCCTGCATGAACTCATAGCAGATACCGTTCTGAAAGGTGCAGTAGAGGCGAGGAGCACAGCCATTAGCGTGTAGCACCTACAGGAGAGACACAAAAATATACAAAACATAAGAATTAGATAGGGGAATTTACTGAACATTGACAGAAGACCACAATCCCTTTGCTTTTACACTACCTGAAAGCTTTTAAGCTCATTGTCTCTGTCCACAATCAGTTCCGTCTTGTTCCCGTATACCCGGACCAGGACCACGTCTTCTGGGGTGTCCTCCACGTAGCAGCCCACTAGCTTGTTGGTGGTTCCATCAGTGAAGAGCTGGAATAGGAAGAGAAGAAGTCATATAACCTCTCATAGAGATACAGAGGAATACCCCCAACCTGTCGACTCCAGTCATTTTATCAGTTGTCTTCAGGTCGGGATCAACAGTGCAGACACCATGCAGCTCTGACCTACATGAGATCAAAGTACCACAGAGAAACATTTTTAACTGAATCACTGTCACATGTGCCTGCGGCCCAGAGATAGAGGCCAAGCGTGTTTTTTAAGTCCTTGGGATGTGGGACAAAAAAAGACAGAATCTCATGTTTTCTTAATGTAATTCACAATGTAAATCTTATTTGACACATTTGATGCTAAAAGAAACGTCTTGCTAAAGCAAAGCGGTCCATGACTCAGATGGGAGGTAGTCAAAGTGACGTGACAAGAGAATGCATTCTATTTTAGAGGAGGTTACACTGCCGGGTGTAACAGAGGATGTGCGGTGAACCTAGAAAGACTGTGAGGTAGACGCTTGAGTGAGTCTGTTAATTTCACCAACGCATTTAAACTCATAATGAATGAATGGGACTAGTTCTCTAAAATCGTACTTGCCGCTCAAAAAGTTTGTACCAGTTCTTGCATGAGGCCTGACGCCTCCTCTGCAAGGGTGGTGTCGGTGTTGCATCAGTGGGTCAACAAGTTACGTCAAGCACCCCTTCTAAAGTGAAGAGTAAGCAGAAAGCCTTCTGTGTCTGAGGCTAGGCATTACATATCTGAGTGACAACATCACTCCAGTGGAAGCCAGTCCATCCCACTGCAGCGAACACAATAACAACATACACGCTGCCTGCATCTCCCCCGGCCCAGACGCTCACTCACACATATCTGGCATTCCGCACGTGGCTCGCCACAAAGATGGGCGTGCAGGCATCCCTGTTATGACCGTACATACACAAGCATACGCGCCTTTGCTACCACATGACTGATCCCTTCGACCCGCCAAACAATACACCGCTAAGACCGGTGATCAATACATCGACAGACAGCGGTAAGCTTAGACCCAGACAGAGGTAAACATTCAGCCATATACTGCCTGACGGGTTGGTTTTTCTGAGTCTATGTTCTGTGGTCTGATGGCAAGGCCTCCTTTCTTTGGCAAATCACGGTGTCTTCAGCATGAGAAAGTTGTAAGAGGAGACTGTTGCTCTGTTGCTGTTGGCACACTCTGCTGTTTGCAGGAACTCAGCGTGTGTGTGGGATGTTTGGAAATGGACAGTGTGTGTTTACAGTAGAAGTCTTCCTGTCCAGGTGGCGGGGCTAATCAGGTGTTTCTGTCAACAGCGCTGCCCCGTTGCTCTTCACGTTTCCCGCTCTCATGGCCCTGCTGCTCCAGAACATCCTCCCAACTCGACCAAATAACGCCATTAACACTCTCCTCAGTCCACGTTCCGCTGTGACCTGGGTCATGAGTACCCTGGCAGTCGTGCTGCTGTACCATATGAGCTCTGTTAGACAAACCGCCTGGTTTGGTGGCGGTCACTGAGAAAAGCTCTGCTGGTCTGGCCTGTAAAGATCGAGGTTAACACTGCACGCTCTCGGCTGCAGGTGTATGAATGGGCGTGGAATCAGATCTAGTGAGATTAGCCAGCAAACACACAGCTGCCTTGGCTGCGTTCAAAGACTTTGACCTGGCCACGACACATCAGTCACTTGATCCTTTTACGAGGAATCAATTATACATTTTCCTTTCCTGACAAGGTGAAGGATCACTTAACAACACACTCCTGTGTGTGTGTGTGTGTGTGTGTGTGTGTGTGTGTGTGTGTGTGTGTGTGTGTGTGTGTGTGTGTGTGGTGATGGTTTGGTGAAAGCATTCTGCACAAAGGCTGCATCTGTTCCATAGTGGTTGGAGAATGTAACACCCGGGGTGGATGCGACGATGGATATATCAACCCTTTTTTCTTTTTTAATTCATTATACATATTGTGAGTGTGTATTGACTGTACACCCACACATGCTGACATGATTGTTTTCCTTAACATGAACAAACAGAATATTGTGGAAAATAGCAGTCAGTGCCATTGTTCTTTTTATAACTCTTCATACAGGCTCGCTCAAAGGTTTGGAATGGGCTGCCACAAAAGCTTCATTCTGTACATACAGACTGTGTTTCTGAATGATCTTTCATGCTTTTAGGTTATAGAAAGCCCTCTTTAAAACTGAATGTCATTATGTATCGAGGAACACAACGCTGCACAATGGTTCAACCAGACTGACAAATGAAAGGGCAGAAAAAGACAAAGATCCCTCTGAGCAACAGTTAAAGCAGAATATAAGAAATCAGCAGCCACTGTAAAAGAAACTGGAAGATTAGCTAAATCTGTGTAGATTGAAATAGGACAGGTTCCTGTTTCAGTGTCAGTAATGTCTATAAAAAGCTGGAATTGCGGACATGTTACTTTAGCAAAGCTATAGCTAAACTTCAAAACAGAAATACAATGTTGGTCTAAGTTTGCACGGTTGGGGTCAGAGTATCAGCTGAACGTACTATTAACTGACAAATCACAGTTTAAACCTGTCCAATCCAACCAGTGAGGAGACTGCAGAGGGCCTGAAGAAAAATGGGAACCCAAAATATTTAGAGCCAGCTGGTTCTGTACTGAAAAACTAATTCCAGAATTAAGGATATTTAGGGTAAAATGGTCCCATTAAGCAACACTGGGGATGTTGACTAAATTGAAGTTTTAATCCTTTAAATTTTCTTCTTTTGAGGCCAAAATGTTAAATGTAAAAAATACCTTTGGTGTCTGAATTATATTGTTTTTATCTATGTTCAAATAGCCATTATTGAAGGAAAGAAGATCAAGAAGATCAAGATAACTGATGGTGATTCCAGACCTTTGAACGGTAATCTTTTCTTGTGCTAAGTGTTCGTTTTTGACGACAGATGTGAGTTAGGAATTGATCACTTTGATCCAATCTGACAGTGATTGATATCAAACAATTATATCATTAATCAAAGTGTTTATTACGATAGAAAAAACTTGATTGCTATGCAATCAGCAATATCCGTTATTATTTTACACACCCTCAAGTGCTGTATGTTCTAAAAATAGATCTTTCTCTCTATGTGACCAATAGACAATCAGGAATTAAACCTTTCTTCATACTGTTAGAAATACTGAAAATCACTTTTCCCTACTGCATAATACTTGGGATTACCATATTGGGTCATAAACATCAGCACAAACGTAGGGCAGGGCAATATGGCTGAAATCAATGATAGTAATTAGCCTTTTCCCTGATATCAATACATACATCACAATTAGAGATGTGCCGGTATACCGTGGTAAAACATTCTCATGGTAACAATACTGGCTGCAGTTTCTATTACCATCAGTTAACCATCAATTTTAGAGGGCACCATAGACACAGCACAGCTCTCCTTTCTTCATTAGCAGCTTCATTTTGATTAACCACAAGGGGAGCGCCATTTTACCAGCCACAGACACAGCAGGACCAGGGAACCAGGCTCCTGTCTGTCTAGCTCTACTCTCATCATGACTTTCTATGCCAAAATTGGGACTATGATCACACTATGATTCCTGAAATTATGTTACTGATTTTTCATACAGGTTGGTGGAAAACACCAGGGACAATGATGGAAATAAGTTTAGGACTTTTTCATTTTATCCCTAAAAAAGTCTGATATGTGGTTATTTTAGAGAAATATTAGAATATATACCAATAATCCGAGCAAACCACAAATGGAATTAAACCACTCAAAAAATGGTGTTCTGTTGCCCAGAAATGTGCAAAATATATTTACATCCTGTAAGTGCCAATGAAAATGACTCAAATAGGCAAATAAGGCCTTAAGATTGTTCTGATTTTATTTGAGGTAGCTACACTCCCTGGATATAATCTGATTATGTTCTTTAATATTAAATGAACAGAGTAAAATATTCAACAGAAGTGGTGAAGGTTACTGGTAGCAGAAGACATGGGTTAATATACTACCTTGGAAACAATAAAAAGTACTTTGGAAAGAACAGGAAAAACAAAGTTGGATCAGTCATCATCATCTATATTCCTTTTAGGCACTGTTTAAAAGGAGTCTGTTGTATGCATTTTGCTTAGTGCTCTTACTGAAAAGTTTTAAATGTATTATTTTATTTCTGAGAGAAAAGTGTCTACTGTTTATTTGCAACCTTATGTTTGTTTAAATATTTTCAATACAATTTATGCAATTGTCTGTAGCAGCTGTAAAAGTCAATTCAGTCATTATTAAGTCTCATATTCTCTTAAACCTCTCAAATGTGACCACTAGCAGTTTTTCCGTGTCCAACTAAGGGTGTAACTTTATATTGTGGCACAGTATTTTGCTATGTGAGCCGTGAGAGCTGAGACTGTCAGTGATCTGTCCCCAAGACAGAGCTCCATCCCACAGAGCTGTATTCAGCAGGACTCATTTTGCAGTGGCTCTGAACCCCGGCAACACGACATCCCCAAATGACCCCAAATGTGATATATTAACTTAACCGACTCCTGTCACTGAGAAACTCGAAATGGTCCCAATTTTAGATAAAGTTGGAAGGTTTACAACTTCAGCAGGCACACCATCTTTATTAGCAGAAAAAGCACATATCTGTGTATTTGCACAGTATGCTTCGCCTTCTGTTCATGTCTTTCCGTTTGCTTTATATGTACTAATTAATGCCGATTCATGCTAACTCTGTATATTACTTTGGCAGGGTTTCAACAGGTTAAATTGAAGACCTTCGTAAGACAATTATGAATGCAGTTTTAGACCTATTTTACGTCCACATTGGCCAAAACAATACAAAGGATGTGAAGGAAACTCGATGGTGGTTCCATCCTGGTTTCATTTTGCAGTTGTTACAGCATGATCACTACAATTGTTTCCCAAGAACACATTTAAAAGAGAGACTAAAAAAGGCACCTTTATTTAAGTAGCATTAACTTCATTAATCCAACCATTTTTAAGACCTGGTAAAGTCATAATGAAGACATTTTAAGGCCTAAAATTCAGATTATTGGATTTTAGACTTTCTAAAACCCTGTCTTAACACCCTGACTGAGGAATTACTTTGAGGACAAGTGGCATTTAGAGAAAGTACGCCTATAATTTAACTTGTGCTCTTTATTCTTATGAGAACATTCTCCTGTAGGCACTTTTTAGTAGTAATGAATTTAAATATACATAATACAAAATACATTATTTGCATTTTGTACTAAAATGTAAATGGGAAAGAACGTTTAAAACCTGTGAATAATGAAAAAGTTTTTAGTCATTTTCTTTCAAAATACTCAACGTAATACATACTAATGTAATATAGTACAGTTATACCCAGTGCCTGAATTGGACCAAAAAAGCTGCCAGTATCCTGATTCAATACAACCCTAACCCTCGTTTTTTTATCCTTTTTAACAAATACATGCTGTTTTTCAGTGTAACGCTAGAACCTCACCAGCAATGCTGTAAGCAGGGTTTTAGAAATACTGAGGTCCAAAACCTCAACTTGCCAGGGTGGTTTGCATCAAAGCATCAAAGTAGTTATTTGTAGGCAACTGTATACCCCTCCTAAAAAATACTGAGGTCCAGACATTGGTGAGCTCAGTGGCGGGTACAGCCATGCTCACCAGAGCTGTCACTCAATCAGAAGTAAGGGTATTCGTGTGGACAAAAATTAGAGGTACTCAGTACTGGCCCATTTCAGACACAGGTGACACCCCTACTAGGTATTAGCTGTGTGCTGTACATTGCAAATGGAAACTATAACAAGCATATAACAATATATTAAGTGCTATGCTTTTACCTACACAGTGGCAGATCCCAGCTCATAGCTACTGTGTCTACTTCCACTAACATCCAGTGACCTCCGTCAGCGGACAGGAGAGCAGACAGACATAATGAATATCCCTTCAAACCAACTATAACACAGTCTTCATAAGGTGTGTCTGCTTCCATGAGCAAACAATTATCAGTCACCATATGTCTCAACCAAACTCTCCATCACGTCACTCACACGAACATGACTTGGCTTTCGTGCTATATTGACATGTTGCGTACGTTGGTCATGTAAAGCTCTCTGTAACCGGAATATTGCCGGTAACTTAACGTTATCTCCTGACGTTACTTTGTTAGCTTAGTTAGAGTTCAGGTCTGAGAACGTCTTGCTAGCTTAGTTAACGTTATCATGTCATTGTGATAAAACTGCTACAGAATATCAAACATAACCGCTTGTTTAATCAACAATTCAGAGAATAACGTAGCCGCCGGTGTGTCGTCTGTTCAAAGAAGTGAACCTCGCCGGTAGATAACGTTAACGTCTCCCGGCCCTCCTCTAGTTAGTGCCCGGTGATGCTGCAGAGCTGCCAATCTTAGCCTAGCCTAGCACGCCCGGCACAGCTAGCTTAGCGGCTAACGTTACCTTCGTCTTGACAAGGCTCGCGTCCCACGCCGGTCTCAGCTCTTTAATGAGCTTCATCGCCCCCTCCGTCACGCTGTGTTCGTCCACGAAAATGGGAATTTTTCTGATCACCGGCGACCCCACGGGCACATGTATCTGCGTCTCCATCCTGCAGCCGTTTATAGGTACCGCTAATCTCCGAGCCCTTCACGGATATTGGCAGAAATTGCAGCATACAAGTGTTGCTTTGGTTTCTAAGTCGCTTAATGTTGCTGTGTTTGTGTGAACGACTCAAGTTTTGCTTAACAGATGGATCTTGCTTGACGGCTGTTGCGGTGACGGTGAGCTGAAAGCAGTGAAGATGTACTGTCAAACTGCCGGGTATGGATGCTCGTCGCCGGTTTTCTTGAGAGCAGACAGCCAACGGTACCATTTCCTCCTACTTGGCTCCGCCCGCCCGGGATCATCCGATTGTACCGCCGGTTGAGACGCACCACAGTCGAGCACGCCCACCATTTCCGAGCGTGTCCGAGTGGAGCCCGAGTCTACTGCACTCTCACATACTGAACACCTGAACGTACTTTCTGTTTCTGACAAGGTTTCTTTTCCCCAATCAAGTCTAAAGTTACTGTCACGTGACCTGCGAGGACATTACAGTAACACTGTGGATTTGCATATCGTGTCTTTTATACTACTTTACTTTACTTTATACACCTTCCTCTTTCTGAGTCAGCCTTTTATAGCCGATAGTAAGGCTTGGAATCATTGGAGAGGCATTGAAGTGGGGCTGTAAATGTGTGTGCTCATGTCAATATGTGCCTGTATGAGTTGATGAATGCATCATTTTCCAGTTTATTAAACAGCAAAAAAAAAAAAAAAAAACACATGGTATGTGTGAAATTGGTTTAGTTTTCCTTACAAGTAGCAATATGACCACCAGTCAGTAATTTCTCTAATAATAAAAAAAAAGTACGTGTAGCAATACCACATAGAAAAAAAATATTATTACATGTCCTGTAACTTTATAATATATATAATAACTTTGTCATCAAAGAGTCCTGCATTCAGGATTTTATGGTTATATATGATATGGTTTAGAAATATTAACAACAAAGTTAGCAAAGGAAATAAAAAATAAGAGAGCTACACAATAAATAAAAATGTAATTAAAGCTATATAAAATACATACAGGAGAGTATGTCAGTACAAAAAAATTACATAATACATTTAAATGAGAAAGCTATATATAATTAGAGAAACTATCAACAGACTCACTTTTTATAATTCTGGGAGGGCGGTTCCAGAGGATGGGAGCCACAGCTGCAAAGGCTCAGTCACCTTTGGTTTTAAGCCTGGCTTTCAGGACCGCCAGAAGGCCTTGGTCAGTAGACAGAAAAACTCCTGTCTGACAAATAGGAGGCCAACCAGTCAAGGGCAGTCCTGCCCATTGCTGAAGCCAACTAAGGAGAATAGACTGGTCAACCGTGTGAAAAGCTACCCTCAGATCTAGCAGCAACAGGACTGGACATTCCCCAGCATCTGCATGCATTAAATATCATTGGAAAGCCTGAACAGGGCAGTTTCAGCACTATGCCTCAACCAAACACCAGACTGGAATTTGTCAAAGATTTCATTGCTTTTCAAAAGTACTTTCTGCAAGCCCTTAGAAATAAAATGAAGTTTGGAAATAAGTCTTACTGGGGAGCAATGGATCTAGCCTACAGACATATTATAAGTTTACATGAATCAGTTTAAACCTGCCAAAAGCACCAGCTCTGTCACATTTAGGGCACTGTGCCTTAAGGTGAGTAGTAGCAGACAAGATAAAGGCACAAACAGTCCCACACTGTTGAGATGAAATGAGGAGAACATGATCTGCAACAACCAGCAACCTCCACTGCGGCAGTACCAACTATCAGCCAAATGGTGGCAGTATGGTAATAAAAATGTCTTTGCCAAGTGGCGCAATCAGGGGGACAGGTTACCCTGAAGTACATGAGAGAATACTGTAGCTATCAGCTGCATTGATAAGTTCTTCTACTCTTCACTCTGACTATCAGTGTCTCCTGGTACTATATGTTGTTTGAGAGGAGTTTCCAAACTGTTCTCCATCCATCTCTTTGGACACTTTTGTTGTCAGTCAGTTGGGATGAAGCAGAGATTGTGCAAATCTAATCAAAAAAAGCCACATATGCATTGCCATATAATTATAAAACTTGATATGAGTGTATTAGTGCTGAACATGAATGAACCCTTTCAAAAAAACCTAAGGAAGCCGAAGAAATGTGATATACTGTCTAGGGATGGGATGACATGAACATTTCATATTACGACAATATGGCCAAAATAATTGCGATATTATCACGATAATCATGAAAATATACTTCATATAGTTAAAATAGCACTAAAGCATACAGGAATCACTTTATCTTACATTTCGTTAAGAAACACATATTTATTGTAATCATTGTACCCTATCACGATAATGGAATACATGCTAATATCGTATATTGTCCCATCCCTAATACTGTCTCATATTGTGATCTTGGGATTTTTAGGAAAAAAAGCTTGGGTTAAACATTCTGAAAGATTGGAAGGATATCCCTATTTTGAGAGAAAGTTGGTCAGACTCGTACTCCCGGAGCTGTGGCTCTTACTCATCCTGGCTCCCATGCTCACCATGACTCTTAGGTCTGTCACTAAACTCTCCTAGAGCCAAACAGGCGGTGAACAATGACATAAACAACCCCGGACATCCGGCCACATTAAATCTGCTCAAACTTGTTGCCTATATTGCTAGAGGCAACTACTCCTATCACTGGTGTGTGTGTGTGTGTGTGTGTGTGTGTGTGTGTGTGTGTGTGTGTGTGTGTGTGTGTGTGTGTGTGTGCTAAGCCAGAACACATAAATAAGTCCACAGGAAGTTTGGGGGATTTTCAGACGCAGTGTTTACTGTTTGGGAGCAGAGAGCCGTGATTGGGCCCTCATAGATGAAAAATCTGTTTAATCTTCCCATAACATTCTTATTGCAGCAGCCAGAGTCCTTATGCATTCGCCTCATGCCAACATTTTACTGCAGCACTTAAATCTCTTCCTTGGTTCCTAGTGCACTAAATGGTTTGGACCCCCCTCTGTACACTTCCAACATGCTCGCTGACTGCAATCCACTCATCCATATTTGAACCAGGGTTAACTTATTGCCCCTGTTCTTTGGAACAAAATGCCTGCTGACCTGAGATCAGTCATAACTGTCCCCATTCAGAAAAACAATGAAAATCTTTTGAATAGTTGTGTCTGTGGGCATTTTGTCATTGCATTTATTACATTCTGCTCTACATGTTACATTGTATGAATTTGAATGTAAAGCCCATTGAGTTTACTTGTAATGAAATGTGCTAATAAAATTATCTGGTCTGCCTTCAGTGGTCTTTAACTCTGAATTTATAATGGGTTGCAATACTTTATCACATATTTCTTTGTCACTGTAAAACCTTTACTGATTCTATGTCTCTGATATCTTATTTTAATGATAAGATTTTTATGATCTCATCGACATAGAAGGAAACAGGAGATATTCTCATGCTATCGCTATAACCACAATATCATTACAGACTATTAGATATGGTTTATAGGTTTGTATCATTCTTCTGAATAGTTTTCAGTTTCTACAAATATGATTTTAGCTAAATGGAAACATAAACAGCTAGAATAAAAGTGATACATAAAGGACACAATGATGGCCCACTATGTCACAAAAAACAATGAAAATATAATGCTATATCTAAACCGGGTCCAGCAGTCACCTCACACACTTATCACACATACTGCTTTGACTGAGGCTAATCTACAGTACATTCCTTAAAGTGCGCCTGTTGAGACAAACACTTTTTTTTAAGGGTTTTTAAGGCTGAGTCTGAAGTTGGTGTCATGTGAACTGTGAGAAGACCAATGCCTGCTATGAAACTGTTAGACTGAGCAGCTGACTTCAGGCCATTGTGGGTTTGCTGAAAAAAAAAAAACTTTTTCTGACTCATTTATAAAATATTTACTATTGACTAGCATATCCTGCTGTGCTGTGTTACTTCATGCAGCTTCCTTTTTCAAAATATGCATCTAATAGTTAGGCATGAAATTGTAGGAGGGGCATTAAAAGTCCAGTGTGTGGGATTTAGGAGTCAGAAATGGAATATAATATTCATAGGTATGTTTTTATCAGTGTATGATCTGAAAATAAAAAACGTTGTGTTGTTAGAATGAGATGTTTTTATCAGATGCTGCTGGTCATCTTCTACGAAGTCCGCCATGTTGAACCGCCATGTTTTTCTACAGTAGCCCCAAAGGGACAAACAAAACATTGTGTTTTTTTGCAAGTTTTTCGGACACTGTAGTTTCTCCTACACACTTGGAAGGCTGAGCTGTATTCAGTTGGTTGCAATCTGCAACTTCACCGCTAGATGCAACCAAATCCTACCCTTCCCTTAAAAATGCAAGGGCAAACTACGATGGCCATTAAAGACACGCAAAACTCCATGAAAGGCAACCCACTGACCAACACAATGATTCCTATATTCAGGTGATTATACATTAATGAAAACATAGTTCTGAATATTATATTCCATTTCTGCCAATTGAACTTCCTAAATGTCACACACTGGACCTTTAAGGGGAACTGGAAATGTGTTTGTGTCTGTGTGTTTGTGTCTGTGTGTGAGATGGAGGTTACTGATGCCTTTATGAGGGAGCAATGTATTGTATGCATCACTTGTGAACGCCCAGAAAGCTAAACATTGAATTTACAAATGACTGAAGGCTACTTTTAGTTTTACAGGACTCAGTGGGATGTGTGTGTTGTGTGTGTGTGTGTGTGTGTGTGTGTGTGTGTGTGTACTCACACCCAGACACTGTGTGTGACTGTAGCAGTTCAGAGCCAAGCTCTACCTGTAGCCACATGTCTCATCTTCTCTCTTAATCCAGGCTCTTGACTGGCTCGCTGGAATGCAGTTGGCAAATTGCGTGTGTGTGTGTGTGTGTGAGGGTGTGTAGGTACATGCGGTTCAGCCATGACCTTGTACACAGGTGGGACAGCTCAAAGGTTGACCAGTGCTCCTTCGATATCTCAGGAATGAGGAAATGTTTACATTGTCACACCATGGAGTGCTGTGTGATACAGCGCCCCCCCAACACACACAAAAACACACACAGATCATAAATCACATCTCCATTGAAAGAATGAAGTCCGAGCCTGCTTCTTGTCTACCTAACCTAATTTCTCATTGTCAAGGCTCGTGTTGACACACTCCTCATCTATCACAGATTGTATGGTTAGAATGAATCGGAGTGTTTCGGAAGAGGGAACGTTCCATGTGAGCACTGTTTACTTTCACACACAACTTCCTAACATTTACACAAACCCACACAGAGGACATGGATTGGTTTCA